CTCGAAGTTTATAAAACACTTAACAACCTTAATCCTGTTTTCATGATAGACTATTTTGTACCCAAAACAACAGGTCATAACCTCCGACTCAAAAACCCCCTTGACATTCCAAAAGCCAGAGCTACCAATAATGGTATCAGATCATTAAGTTTTCAAGGGCCTAAAATCTGGAATTCACTCCCGGAATCAATAAAGACTGCACAAAATACTAGACAATTTAAGAATTTGATCAAAACTTGGTTCCTTGAATACAAGTGCGCATGCTCGTTTTGCAGTAAATGAACTGTCTTATGCAATTCTTGAAATTGCTTCATGTTAGTCTTAATTAGTATATATTCACTATTGTAAAAACTAACGTTAAATAATCTACAATACAATACAATACAAATACAATACAATATAATCATTCGATGCACAAGAACATGGCGATTCCAACCATATCAAAATAATTGGCAAATATCGTAAAATGATACTTTCCAGGCAAAGTTATTGCTTAAATTAGTGTACCACCTTCAAAAGCTATTTTGTACCCTTGCGTCAAAATTTGACTGACATCAGCAGAAAGCTCAGAACCTAAGCTACCAAATTGTGTGTCAGATTTTTCAAATTCCTCCTCCTCTTGAAACTGTACCCCGTCAATAATTGGCAAACAATTTTTCTTCCCTCTCATAGCTGTTTTTGGCTATAAAAGACGGACCAGAAAAAATGCAAAAATTTTGAGACATGCTTTGCTTACCCGACATCTGTCCTGGCCGTGTGCAAATTTTTGAGCCATTCGATTGGCTCCTTGGGTAAAAAATAGCTTTTTCGTACCTGTATGTAGAGGAGTTGTACGTCCGGAGAGAACGGGATTTTACTGATCGCACTTGCAAGGTATACTCGTAAACCACAGTGTAATCCGGGTCAATTCACTTGAAGCTTTAAGAAGAATAAGCCTGTTTAAATAAACACGGCCAAACATGGGATACATGGATGTAATTATGGAAACCTTCGTTTACATGGCATTTTTTCCATTTTCAAGATTTCTGTTAGTTTCAATTTTGGTATTATTATGTGCCTTAAAAGTTCGGCTACTTGAATGTGAGATAATCGAAAAATGGATGTTTTCACCTAGAAAGCGTTTACCGTAACCTTAAGTTATTAAGTTTTTAAAGTCGAAATTTGCCCTCATCGATGGCGGAGCGAGAACGCGGTCAGGCCACTGTGTCACATGACCTTGTGACGTAAACTGATGGACACGAAGAAACGTTTTGATGTAATGTAGTAGTGAGTTTGATCAGGTTCTTGACAGGTAGCAATCGTGCAAATTGTAATAAAAGCATAAAACTTGGTGAAAATACAGAATTCGATATGTGTAACAAGATAGAATATAGACCCATTTGGAAAAAAGCCCTTGTGCTATTTTTAGACTGGGGTACTTGTTCCTAGTACTCAGAATATATGTTAGTATGTTAAATCTATTTCTCTTGACTTTTTTATATGTTATCTATTAACTGTTATCTATTTCTGTTAATTGTGACATGTGATAATCCTTATTATTTTAGATTTAAGAAATGAATAGATTATATAATATGTATCCTACTAATTCTCTGTTGCATTTTTATTTTCAAATGGAAACCGAGTATGAGTATTTCTTGCCTTCATTGCAAGAAAAGAAACAAGGATCAACGTACCATTTTATTTACTTCCTCATTTCTACCGACAAAACGAGCACAGAATGTCGCGAGAGATAATTCATCCTTATCCTCTGGGATCTCATCGGGCCTAGGCTAAACTTCATCGCCACTTTCGCTGTTTGCGCTTGGTAGAGCAAGTAATTCACCATCACATATCTAGTGGAACAATTTAACATACCACAAATTTTTCTAAGGAATCTGGAAGCAGTGGCGTAACGCACGGTTTGCACCCTCGAACACAAAACTAAGGGCCTCAAACATTTGTCCCCGAAGGTGCCCCCGAAAGATTTTTCGGAAGGCGGGTTTTTGGATAAAAACAACTGTTTCTTAATAGCATTCGCAGCAACATTAAAGTGGGCCCAGGATAGGATATGATTTGTAAGCAAACACAATAATGATGTAAGATAATGCATATACATGTCAATTAGGCTTCCCCACATAATAGCCCCACAAAATGAAAGTTTTAACTCACTTAATTCTCACCTCAGAAAAGAGAAAGGAAAGAGATGGTGCAAAAGGCCTTAAAGAAAAGATAGATAGTTTCGAATTTGTTCTGTTTATAGTCATGTGGGAAAGAATACTGCGTGCTATAAATTATACATCAAACGAATTTCAGTTGCGTAAGTTGAATCTTTCAGTTGCGTCTGGGCTTCTAAACTGCTCAATTTCAGACATAGAGCTACTTCGGAACTCTTCAAAGTCAGTGAGGATGACAGTTTCTGCACTTGCCAGTTCTTGGTGCTTATCTCTTGAATTTTCCCAGAATAGAAACCTCAAAGTCTAGTGTTTCTTCGACGTATACCTTGAGATGATGCGTTAAGTGATCCAGAAAAAAAATGGTTCAAGGTCAAGGTTTTCTACAAAACAGTCGATACAGCTCTTATGCAGCTTTAATTGCGATTTAATGGGCAAAGTTTGGTTACAAACCTTTACAGGTTTCTTTACCCCAAATCACTGGCAAAGTATGAGTTGTCTGATCAGATTTTCATCACAAAAGCTGTAATTGCAGCATATCCAGATGATTTTACAGGAAATTTGGAAACCGAATGGCGGTTTTTCGCAAAGGAGTCCAAGCAAGACATGGCAGACAAAGAGTCAGTTCTTGAAATTTTAAATTTGATGCTGGAAAGCAGCGTGAGTTCATCCTTTCCAGAAGTGTACAAATTACTAACTCTGTCTGTAACAATTCCAGTTACGGTTGCCACAGCTGAGAGATCATTTTCGAAACTTATATTGATTAAAACGTACTTAAGGTCAAAGATATCTCAAGAAAGATTCGATAACTTGGCAATACTGTCCATAGAAAATTCAGAAGCCAAATCAATTGATAAAACTGAACTCACTGAGCGATTCGCACATGTCAATGCTCGAAGGCATAAAATAATTGGCATATAGAACTTGAAATTTCGTTTTTCTGATAACATTTCAAATAAAATCTTATCATGACGTTTTTTAAGCACTTGTGAACAAACTTTCGCATAACTTTACGGAAATTGTATTGGTTACGTTTCTTCATCTAGGTCTTATAATATTCTTCATTATTCATAGGGACCACATAAGGACAGAAAGTTTAAAGTTTTGTTGGAAATTGTTGTAGAAAAGTAGTCAAGTCATTCAAATTTTGACTGTATCTATCAAAGTCTAATGCCCATTCACTTTTGCGAGTTAAACCAGCTTAAAATAAGTCAGATTTTTGAGTGGGGCCTTCTTATTGGTCTATCCAACAAATCGGATGCGTATGATTGGTTGAAATAAAACCTAGTATAAATGTAGCTGATTTAACTGTGCCAGTGTAAAGGCAGCATAAGCAAACATTAATTATTCATACCAGCGCAGATTTCTTTAATATTTTGATAAAGTTTCACATTCAAGATATTAAGGAAGGAGAGGAGTTGTTATTTCATTTCATGTGCCACCATTAGAGAGCATAAAAATATATTTGGCAGCAGAATCTCTCTTCGTAAATTGTTCTATGTTATCAATACGGGGTTTTTCGGGATAACCCCAAAGAGTGAGTGATTAGGCTCTAAAATTTGACTCAACCTTAGTTAAGTATGGGGGCCCAAAACACGACTTTCACTTAGAGCCCCACACTGTTCCGTTACACCACTTTTTGGAAGGCAAGGATTGTGGAAGTAAAACGCGAAACAAGACCTTGTTGTCTTCATTAGAGGAAATTATTGGTATTCAGTTGTGGAAATGATGGAGGGCATGGGTGGCTAAGGCTTTTGAGTCGGAAAATTCAAGCTTTCGGTGGATATTTGACAACCATTTAATGTTGTGTTTCCTTAATAAAAACCTTTAAGTGAGTTGAAAATGAAGGCTTTTGACTTATGACTAAAGGAAAAAGAATCACTTATGTTACTGGTATAGCGGGCATGGTGGTAGTCGAATATTTAATCATTTAGCGGGTAGGCAATTCTACTTTTCATTGGCTGAATAGAACAACATTTTATGAAAGAAAGTTTTTTCCTAGGTTTTACTAACAGTATGCTGAACCCATAAAAACAAAAACAGAAAGACGATAAAAACAAAGCAAAAAACAAAAAATTGCTTAAACAACCTTCCAACTCTAGTTAAACTTTAGTCGAAAAAGGATGAAGGACAGAGGGTGGAATACTGCAAATAATTCATAAATGAACCTTTTCCTCCGTTTTGTGAGTAAAAAACTTCCCACTCAGTATCTTCATTGTCTTTGCTCTAACTTGATCCCCTTTTCCCAACCACTACGTCCATTTTCTTCCTCTGATGAATTCGTCGTTAGATTATTTTACTTGTTTCCTTTCAAACATGGTTCAAAACTATAATGTACGACATCCCAAGACAGTATTCAGTGACATAATGTATTTCAAAATTACTCATTTTTGCAAAATAAATCAACTTGTTGTGCGCGAGTAGCGAAAACCCTATCCATTTCAAGTGTAGGCCTGTCTCCGCTTGTCAACTTCTACGTCACGAGGTAACGTGATTTTTTGCAAATTTGCGTCTACGGCCTCCTCCAGATGAATTTTTTTGTCGGAAAACTTGGAAGTGCTTAATTTTGACCTATTTTCTACCGAATTCGTCAATAAAATGAGAGGGTAAAATAGGTGGCATAAATCCTTTAAGTTGTTTTACATGGCGTCTAAAGGCAAAATAACTGGCTGTGGAAATAGTACACATGATCCGGCGGCCCTGATATTCATTACAAAAATGTTTTGATAACTCAATTTGTAGTTGTAGGAAAGTTTCCATAAGTTTGGTATAATGAGAAACCTTTTAGGGCGCATCGGGCCGTCCTCTACAGGATCATGGGATACGTTTTCCAAACGAGGCATCAACAACAATCAAAGGCTCAGCAAACTTCTGGCCTAAATGGCGAAGAGGGCGGTAGAATATGCATCTATTATTTGAAGGAAGAGTTCTTGCATTCTGCTAAAGTCACAGAGGAATCAAACAACCCTCTGCCAAAGAATTAGAGCATTAAATACTGAAATTGGATGATTTAAAGGAATATACTGTGCTTTGACTTAGTAAAGTCATATTATTTAGGATGTAAGCTGCCGGCCAGAAGAACAAGGAAGCTGCAAGTACAACCAGCCAGAAAGAACCACACCAAGGTTGCCTTTACTTGGTTGCATGCTGCGATGACGGAACGACACCAGCCAGTATCAGCGACAGCATCAACAGGAAAAGAGAGATTATTCGCGCAAAGGATCCAAAGGTAAGATTATTGCATAGAAGTGGTTTGAAAACAGCATTACGGTGTGCACCAAAGGAAAAGCCCGTAGTAAATTGTTTAAGTTTAAATAAAGTTGGTAATCATTATTATAGCATAAGAGGCTGGGATCGTAATGTGTTCTGTTCAAAAGTGAAATTTTGCAAACATCCCTGGCCTGCTTTCACTTTGTCTTGTCTTCTACATAAACCGAATTGTATGTTCAAAGATCTGAAAAGCACTGTTTTTCTTAAACAAGGGCAAGTCCAAGTTTCTATGCTTATAGGGCAGGAAATTCTTTTCAATGACAAGATTTAGCTTGGGTGTAGATGCCAATGATAAGGTTAACTTTCAGTAAACATGAGCATCAATGAAGGTAATTGGTAAGCAAAACTTTTATGCATACACTCATTTTTTTACAAGAAACTGGCTATAAGAAACGAGTACTGGACAGTCAGAAAAAATTAAGAAACTTCAGTACTCGAAGCAAAAAAATTAAGAAACTATTAAATCATGATAAAACTGAGAACAACGAAATTTTCTAAAATCCAAGAACATGATTGCCCTGTTGGTCTAGAATTTAAGACACAAGGGATAAAAATATACTTTCCACATCTAAATACAGCGTCAGAATGGAAGCGAATCTCTAGACGTGAAAAAAGGTCATGAACATTTTATAACATCATTCATATGAAATCATAATTAAGAAACTCTTAAGAAACAGTGAGTATTCAAATTTCCAGAACATTAAGAAACTGGAGTACTCAACAACAACCTTTGTTTCTTATAAAAAAAATGAGTGTAGCTTTACTCAAACTCTTGTAAATAATTTTTAAAGAAAAGGACTACAGCTCAATGATCACTTAAGATCTCTATTTAGCCATGAGTTGATAGGTATTATAACAAAACTGCTCTGCTTCCTGTAGGGGTGCTCCTTCAGGAGATCATCGGAGATCAAACAGTGAATCTCATGGAGGATCTTCAAAACGAGCATCAGCAGTATTTGTTGTAAGTATCATAAGATCTTGAAGTCTTTATAATTATTTTCTACTTTATATTTGCCAAATAGACCATATGAGAATTTGTTAACTTTGTGTCATATAAAAAACATTTTTAAAATAATTTTCTTGTTTTAGCAATCCTTCATTGATGTAGTTGATCCACTTGACTTTGAAGACTTCATACTACAACACCAACCATTAGCAGATGAAACTGATGGTATTTCAAATTTAGCTGAATTTCCTGATGATGACATAGAAGTCACAACCCTAACAAGAAAGCACAGGACCACAGACGTTTCAATACCAAAGGAGATCAGGTAAGCAGAATTCTATATATAAGTCACAGGTGATGATTGATACAGTTACTCAATTCACCTAAAGCAGAAGCACCTCTCGGTTCTTAAAAACATATCTATAGTATGAATATATGTTTCAGCTAAACAACAAAGGTGATAAATGTCTTATTTTCAGTTTTGCAGGTGACCCTCATGTCAAAGACTGTGCAAGAACATACACACAGGACTGGTCTGTTGTGAACCGAAAGTAAGTAGTATGCATCAAATTGAATTTGTTCTTAAGTTACTATCAAATTTTCTCTGTTTATTAGTCACTGGAAATGGTGCAAATTGTACAATATTTTATGTACCTATAGGTTTTTATTTCATGTTCCAATTAGGGCTTGATTTACTTGATACTCAGAGAGGAAACTCAGCTACTTATAAGAAAAAGGACAGTAAGAAATTTGGGAGATAGCCCATCGATCCTTTTATGATTGTCAAACTTATTAGATTGGTGCTGTTTTAAATAACTAACTGCACATCAAAGTGTTGATTAGTGTAGCCAAAACTTTGGTGATTCGGAGCAGCCAAACTGTAGTTTCTACTAGAATGATACTCAATTCTAAACACATGCCAAGATTTCATGATCATGTAAATGGTTCAATGGTGGGACATAGTGCCTTTATAATTTTGTAAATTATATCAGATGTAGGTTGATTTTAAACTGGTGGTCAGTGTTCAGGCTTTTTACATCTAGTGATAATTTGCTAGTAGGCAGGAAGCTTACTAATGTAAGCCCTGGCTTGTGAAGAATGTGCTATAGCCCTTGATAAATATTTTTGGAGATGCCAGATTAACCTCTGATGCGGTTCTAATACTGCAAATCTCAAGTGGTTTTTCAGCACAACTTGTGTAATGTATCTCTCCATTATCATTCTGTATCTCTCACCCCTTGTACTTTTATTACCAGGCGGTATTTAGCCACTTGCACTATTCAAAACAAAGACAATTTTTTGTTAATACAATTTCCATTCCTTTGTATTAGATATCAATTTAGAGCACTTTTCGGTGGTGGTAAACAAGCCACACGGAGTGACAGCTTTACTGAAAAACTCTTCAAACATGTGTATGAAGTTGATTCAAAATTGAAGGTTAGTATAAAAGATTTTTGGTAATTTTCAAATATCATAAATTCACATAATATATATAATGTTCTTATAACATCAGAATCATTGAATAGTATTCATTCATTTTACTGTTTGAAATACTTATGTAGACTAATGTTTATAAAAGATCCTAGGCACTTATGAACAAGGTATGAAATTATTCATGATGACATGTAGAATTTTAATCGTCATGTGATAATGTTGCTTGGAGCTTTTCTGCTGCAGCAATAATACTTTAAATTGCCTCTCCAGCCAAATGGTGGTATTCATTTTATTGACTTAAAATATACTTTCCAAGTAAAACAGATCAGAGGCAAATCAATTTAGTGACACTGCTATGTCATAATGTTTGGTTTGCCCTCCCTGTGAATTGATTGCTTACTTCCAAAATGGTTGTGCATTTGAAGGGTCTTAAAATTTATTTTAAAAACTGCAACTTTGTTATAACCTATAAGACAAATCTGTTGAGTTAAAAGCAATTCAAATAAATACCGGGAATCTCAGTCTTTCAGTTTGCTTGATTATGTTGGTCACAACTGCAACCTGCTGAGTAAGTGTTTTGTGAACCGTATGCTGACTTTGATCGTGTCCTTGCAGCTTTTACCTCAAGTAATTTTGCCTAAACCTATAAGAAATATGTTGTTTGCCATAAAATTTATTAAAAAACAACTGACATTCTGAAATGGTAAAACATATATTCGTACGAGGAGAGAGGCCATTAATTGCAAATGAAAAATGTAAGAATTTGTGGTCTCACATACGAAGGCAAGGCAATGCCAGTGACCACATGTTTAAGTGACAGCGACCTCATAATCCAGCTCGTAAAAAGCTGGACAAAAATTAAAAGACAACACAACAGATTCATGACAAACAGGTTAAACTCCATTAGTTTAGCTACTCTAAGAGCATTGCAAGCTTTATCTTTTATTCATTTCAGATAAATCAAGATAACAAAAAGGCAAATGCTGAAAAAGGCTTCAATGACATGCCCAGAGGAAGCTGGGCATCAAGGTCTGTCTTATTCCAAGCGCCATAATCTAAATTATTGTATTTTTGTTTGTCACTTATTGCTATTGTCTCTAAATTTAACTTGTATTGAAAATATATGATTCTTTCTTAAAAATCAAGAAAGTGTTTTTAACTAGAATCACAAGAGTATCACAGACTAGAATCACAAGAGAATCACAAGGTAATGTTAATTTGTTGCAATGAGGAAAAAATGTTACATGTCATCTACAAGAAGTCTTTTAGATAATCTGTTTGGTTATTATTACTTTTTCAAATTTGAAATTTTCGAATTTTTTGTCATTTGGTCTAATTGGAAACATTTCCAGGCTACTGTTATCAAAGCAAAAAAATTTGTGTTCTTAGACATTTAGTCTTGCATTTGATGTACAAACAAACAAGATATATTTAGCACTTTGAACACTTATTTAAAGTGGCTTAGTTATGTATAGTGGTTGGAAGTATTAATACTTAGTGTAGGATAACCTGAAAGCATCTAATTTTTGTTGTAGTTGGTAACTGAGGCATCAAATACTGAATCGACTTCGTTTTTTAGCATATTCGATCTCCAAACCTCCCAGCCTGATGAGTTGTTACCAGGACTGCTTGAAGCAACCCAGCACGAGGAGATCGATCGTCAGAATGAAATTGATAGAAAGAGAGATCGTGTGCCCCAACTTTTCTCTGTTTATGCCCCAAAAGAAGAGGTGCGAAATATTATTTTATCTATTTACTCTGACTTTAGTAGAGATAAACAGTATCTATGTTTTGAAACCAAGGATCTATGCCTTGTTACATTTCCCTGTAATTATGCTCATACAAGTTGAGTTTACGGAAATTAAATTGAGATTTCCAGCTGATGAATAAATATGGATGTGAAAACTCAAGTTTTAAACCCAAGTTTGTAATCAAATCATATACAGAATAGCTCTATTAAGGATTTTTCTACAATTCTCAATAAAAGAATGTTATCTTTGGCAGTTTATCTTTGTTCATTACGATGGCCCAAAAACAGGTTTTCTTAACATTTTTTCATTGTAGCTGTGTGCCATGGAGAGAATCATTTATTTTGTCACTGCTAAGAGCTACTCAATTACACACGATATTTGCTTGTAAGCTTCCTGCATGATTGTGCTCTTGCCAAAAGGCACAGTACTGTAGTTTGCACCCTGTCCCCGACGCCAAACATACACATAAGCAATAATATAAATATATATTGCACAGGCTTTTGTGACACTTTTTCTGTAGCATGGGGTCCTGTTTCCCAATTCAATTGTTCAGTCTATATTAATAAAGTAAAAAACATCTGAAGTTGTTTTATCCCTGTTTTATTGCAATGATAAAGCTTAGATACTCTACCTTGCAGATATAAGCTATTACCATAATCTGCGAGTAAAAGTAGATATTTCATCTGTTCTTGAAATGAGGACAAGTTTTTTACAGCCACTCAATACATTTGTAAAAAAATCTTCCGAGTGTGTAATACCTGTTAATTTTGTAGGAAGAGTCTTTTGTCCACCGAACGCCGGCTCTTATCCCACAAGAGCATTTTGGCCAACGGATACTTGTCAAATGTCTTGATCTAAGGTATTGTTCTGCTTTATATTGCTTCATGCATCATTTCGATATTGCAAACTACGCATCTGTAGATGATCAACACATTGCATCCGAATTTTATCTGAAGTCTTAGACAGGCGACTTCTAAGAACTTGTTGATACAACAATAGCTGCACTTCAATCAGATGACACGAAAATTGCCAAAGCCAAAGCCACTAGCTGCTTCATATGCTTTTATGCGCCATGTTATAGGGGATCGGTCATTAAAGGGGTTTTTGATAATATCGTTGGCACTCATTGGCTTGTGAATAGCTTTTGGAGGCTTTTTTAGAATCGAAAGTGGTATGCAATGTTTATAGAAAATTTTTCTATCATAATATATTTTACCATGACACAAATATAATGACCCCTCCCTTGTGATATTTCTTATTGTATTCAGTGCACTTTTCAAAGACCGATTAGTGGTTAAATTCTTACCTCCAACACAAAGGATCATAAATTTAGATCCTGGGTTGACTACAAAGGGAAGAAAAATGATTTCGAATCAAGTAGGTTCCTGTGAAGGGACAAAAGGGGGTTTTAGACGCCTGGGCCGAGCGTCGTCAAAAACGGTAGATAGCAGCTCAGACCTCTTTTGTAATGTAACCTTATCCATGTCACATAAAGTTTTGCTTCTCACTTTGACGCATAACCGATCTTTGCTCATCCTAATTTCTTTCAATAGGCTGGATCTTGACGTAGAACCACTTTTTGCGACAATGGCGTTATATGACGGGAAAGCAAAAAGAAAGGTAAATAGAAAGTCCACTTAACAATTGAAAAATTTGTATATACTGTTGTAAATCAAAAAAGCATCAGAAATGATCAGAGGTTGTACTGAATTCAGTAAGTGCCAACAGCCGCACAGAAATGCTGTTTTTTTCAAAATCTCGTCATTGATAGGCTACACTCGTTGTATATGAGAACGAGATTTTTGCCAAAGGGTGGTGTTCTTATTTTTTGGATAATTTTTATTCTTAATGTTGTTTTATATTTCAACGTTGATTTTACTACAACTTAATTTTATAAATTGTTTCTAAGACCACCAAATCAGTTTTGCATAGTATTTTAAGTGACAAGGGGTGATCAAATGTTTGAACGTTCTATTTTTCTCGAGCCTCTTTGTGTTTTTAAAGTTTGTTCTTATCCTTAAAATGTGTGTAATAACTATCATACGTTTAGCTTTAGTTTTAGCTTTGCGACATGCTAACCGTTGAGTTTTCAAATTGAGTAGCAGGATTTTCTTGTTTTATTACTTCTAAAAGATCATACGTGTCAAACCTGTCTGCATTTTTCATTCAAGTTAAATTCAGATTGTCGGCAAGGAGTTCTTTCGCTCAGTACAACTAATTGGCGGTTTATTTTCAGATCTCAGAGAACTTTCATTTTGACTTGAACAAAGACATGCATAAGAACATGATCTCCAAATTCAGAAGCAAAGAGGACATGTCTTCGCTAGCAAGATCTTGTATCTTTTCTGTGACTTACCCGTCAAGTGAAGTGTATTTGGTTGTGAAAATCGAGAAAGTTCTTCAGCAAGGAGACATTAGTGATTGCGCAGAGCCATATAAGCCATTTACTAAGGACACCGATGTTGCCAAGGTAACTGATTGATATTGTTGTCGACCATATCCGTCTTTTTATGAATATTACTACTTAGCAGTCTATTATCTAGTGTTCGTTACAGTATACACTCTACATTCTTTCATTCTTTGATATGTAAAGCAGGACCGCTAAACAGCAACATTGCTAGTCGAGCTCAATGTGATCATAGAGTTTGAAAGTGTGACGTCATAAAACGTATTTTTATAAGATTTTACTTTCGACCGCATAACTTGAAAAATGCCATGGAATATCTTTGAAAATGGAAGAAAACCGTTGATGTGTTAATAATTTGATGAGATGTGGCCAATGGAAGTTTTTAAATCTGCTAACGGGTTCATAGTAGGCCTGGTTCATAAAAATATGAACAGTGACCAAACTGCAGCGATTTGAAAAGGGAATAACCTATGCTTATGTGACGAGATCTCAGCTGATTACATTTAGCTGATTCGCTGCATTTAAAGATATTTCATGATGATCTTTCAGGGGAAGTGATCCAAATTCAGAAATTCAAAAAATATATTTTGTGACGTTATTGCTTTAATAATCTCTTAGGCAGCCCGCCCATCTTTTATTGGATCACTTAATCTTTTTTGCATCGACCAACTGCTTGCAAAGAATTAGGTAATTTGACCCTTGCAAATGACGTCTAATATTAGCTTATAGAAACAAGCAGTTTCTTATTAACAGTTTATTTACAATTTCGTTTTTACACGTCTACATCAAATTGATAATTTATGCAAAGCTCAAATCAATGTATTCATTAAGTTCATTTTGTATATCTCCACTCTTACCTTTCATCATCACTATCGAGTTCTTCAACGCAAATAAGATGTTCTCTTCCAACCTGTTTCAAAATGAAGTCTAAAATAAGATTCTCTGTTAATTTTTCTTTTGATCTTGATCAGTTTAAGGAAAAAGCAAAAGCAAATGCTGATCAGTTCTGTGACAAGTATGGAAACTTCCGAATGCCATTCCTATGGACGGCGATTCATTTGATTGATGTCATATCTGCCGCAGCAGGCATTAGCGACAACAGCAACCAAGCTGACAAGGAGCAGTCGTTGAATCGGGAGAATTCTCTGCGACGGGTACGTTACCATGCCAGTTGTGGCCTAGCATCTTTACTTTAGTATTGCTAGCTATTTTAATGCATCTACGAGTTGTGAAGGCGATCGTGTATATTACAGTATTAATATAGGATTCTTCCTCTGTAGTATACGAATGAAATTGAACTGAATTGAATTGACTTGAATTATCGTGGTTAAAATGCAAATATACCTTTTACAAACTTTTCGCAAATATACCTTATACCTTTTAAAAACTTTTTTAAAACCAATGACAAGTATAATCTTATAGAAGCAAATAATAGAGTAATATAGTGAAGGGTATAGTGTAAACATAATATAGTATAATATAGTGTAAACATAAGGATCATTCTGTACAAGGATTAATGACAAGCGCTATGTTTATTGCTACTCGTAGTCAAAATCATGTGCCAAGGACAACTATATAACGAGTACAAGATCCGGTTGGAAGTTCCCCTTTGAGATTCAATTTCATTTGTTTATCAAGGCTAGCAAAATTTTTGTCTTGATTTTCAACGATCGTACCATTTTGATAACCGTGTTTAGTTCATCATGATAATTCCCGTCTGCGTGTCCTTCTGTTTACATTTTAACTAACTATGACATTAAAATCATAGTAAAACATTTGTTAGTTCGACGGAAAAGAATCGATGAAATCCCAGCAATACAGTAGGTCATTATTCATGCTCTTTGCAGTGCACTTTTCGTCATGCCCATTGCTTTTTTACTATTCATGTATTTAACTGTTTCTTTCGTGTATCAACTTCATTGTCTTAATATTGCAGAACACTGACGATGCGGATGGAGCGAGGTCATCATTTAAGCGAGGCGAATCGGTATCGCGAAGAACGTCGTCGAACAGTGCTGAAATCGGGAAACCGAACATATCGAGGTTTGACAGACCGCGATCTGGTGATGATGACGAACCAATGATCCTGTCAAATTTTAGGGCTGTGGCTTTAAACGCCAGCACATTTTTCAAGCAGGTTCGCAGTTCTCATGTTCTTTCGTATCCAAATTACATGTTTTTTGCAATTGTTTCATAAATTCATGTAACAATATTTTACCATGTGTTGCAAGCTTCTTAATCGGATCTCCGATCGTTAATCGTAAGAACCGATAGTAATAAGCTGTTTTTATAGTCTATGTATGCCTCTGGAGATGAGATACGCTAAACTTTACATAAATTTTTTTAAAACAGTCTTTTACTGGCCTATTTTCATCCATAACTGGGTATATGTATTACCTAGCTTAGAGTTTTCGATCATTGTTCGAATTTTTATAATTGCTAGACGTGTCGGGCGTTTCAGAGTGTCAGGCGAAAAGCTTAGGATTGCTTTTTACAATGGCAACTTAAATTCTGTGCCTCTAAAAATATAAAAATAGGTAACTGTTTTCTTCGCGTCTTTAAGAGAGGCTATAACCTCAAATTGCCTCCCTTTACTTCTCATTGCTATTTGATTTAAGTTAATTGAATCCGCTTGTCTTTTGTGTTGACAGGAATCAGACAGATTGACAGACGAAGATCTTTTCAAATTTCTGGCAGATCTCCGCAGACCAACATCAATTGTTCGAAGACTCAAGTGCATATCAGGTCATGATTTACTTCACCATTGTTAAGCTCCTAGTAAAGATGTATTCAAATTGATTAAGTGTATAAGGCGTATAAACATTTATTGCCTTGAGTTAATCATTCAAGAAATGCTATTTTTAGGGATGTTATAAGGTTTTTTTAATTTGAGTGATAATTTTAACAATGATAAAGTTTGATCCCTTTCGATAAACATTGGTATGTGTATATTATATAAACATATAACTGACGTCTAAAGTTGAACGTGAATATGTGTTTGTGTTCTAAATGGATTGCAAAACTTAGAACAACTAGTACCCAGTCTCAAATGACTGCCTATACATTATCTCATATAGTATGGCTAAAAGGACTTATGAACAAACACGTCTTCTACGTTGTTTATTGTACATTTTCAAGTAGCCTGTTGCTATACGCGAAATCCAGTTTTGAAATAAATGATCTTTCGAGTTGGTAATAGGAAGCAATTTCTTTGTTTAGGTACATTGAAAGTGGATATTTCTGCACCTCCTGACAATCTAATGTATTGCCTAACTCCTGAGCTACTAAAGGTATGTTTTTTATTGACCCCTTTGTCTGTATTCTTGATTTCCTATTCTTAAGGCTACCTATATTGACGCTCGATTCCAGTGAGCGTCGAGTTGCTCTTTGTGGGCGATGAAAATGTGTACTGGGGGTTCTAAAAATGTATCTGCAATGGTCGAAGCAGCGGAACTTTCTTTTAACAATATGGTTGCTTAAAGCACTGCAATGACAATTCCTCGTTTATCTTTGCCAAATTAAGGGTTCTTATTTCAAATGTGCATATTGCTTTGTCACGTCCCGGACAGTTGGTGTTAGGATTTTATACCCCCCCCTCCCTCTTCCCCTGATTCAATGTAAATATCTCAGTTCCCAAAATACCTACGCTCCAACTTTTATTGGGGGAAGGGGGCTAGATATTAGCCTATAGGTACATAATATTGTGCTCGTGTTTAGGGGTTTGTCTCAACAGCTTTGTCCAAGTTTGTAATCTTAGTTTTATTCGAAAAGCTATTTTGATACACTAAATAAATGATACACTGATAAATCTGACTTTATTATTCAGGTCCAGCCGTATCCGGACAACCAAGGAAGACCAATCAAGGAAATCCAAGAATTTGCCCCGAAAGAAGTGTTTGTGCCTTGTGTGAACTACGGGTAAGCAAAAACTGGCTACTTATCAACTCATTTTAACGAAATAAATTTCTTCATAACGATTGCCATGTCAGTCATCCAATGCACAAATACCAGAATTGTCTGATATGCCTATTATTTTATGAGTTCCGCGATTTTGTAAAGTTTATGCACAATACAGCTTTTCTCAGAAGGAAAGATTCATCGAAGCAGCTATTCACTAAACACAAAGTCCTATAGAAAAGAGTTCTTAAGAGTTCTGATTGCCTAATCTGAAAGCACTATAAAGTACCTCTGAAAATGCAAAACTTTTTAGATATTTCAACAATGAAAGCTTTTGAATTTTGCAAACAGATTACTGTTTTATGGTTCGGATCTCAAAGTTTTAAATGAAAACCAAGTTACAGTTATTTGGCTGCGACTTTGTAACATATTTAACTATTCTTGTATGTTTAAAGATTGTTCGTGATGCTATTTCGGGGGTATTTGGTCCAATTTTGAAATTTCTACTAGCTTGATTTTATGACGTCATATTTTAATAGTTTTATGTTAAGTTAACAAATTAATCTTATTTGAGTTATGTTATGAATACATCAGCGTCCACTCTAGAAATAACCAGTTCTATAAACATATTCCCACATTGCCATTAACAAAACCCCACATTGCCATAAATGGACACTTTCTCATTTTGTCATTTTGTTTTCTCCTCCTTGGCAAGATTTCTCTGAAATAAGACCAGGTAGCCACGTAATTAACACAATACAAGCTTTTCCTAGGAACAGCAGCAAGAATTCCTAATTATATTTTCGGTCATCAGTTTAGGAACGATCTTGAAACCAAACATATGACTCGGAGTTTCACATGGCTTAGCATAGTCGAAATTTTTCCTTTAGGTAAAAAGTATTCTTTTAATTTATTCAGACTAGGTGTGTATTTTTATGCTTTGTTGTTAACACATCTTCACGGACGGTTAAAGATTTCTGTTATGGTGGAAACAACTTAGCCTTTGTTTGCTATGTCTGAATGTATCAAAGAGCAATTTTATTCTAGAAATACTCTGTACGTTTACCCAACGCATTTGAACTTCTCCAATCGTGGTGGATCTGCAAAGAATATAGCAGTCAAAGTGCAGTTCCTGGCAGGGGAAGACCCTGAGCAAGCACTTTGTGTGAGTATTGTAATCATCATCAATGTGTACGGCATTGAAGATATAGCTATTGCTGGGGGCAAGTCCTTTCTCTCATTCCGTGATGTGGGTAATTTGCGAAGTAGCCTCAATAATCAATAATGATTCTCATGTTGTTGAACATATGCTTCCTACTTAGTCGGTTTTAAACAGACTATAAGGGAACTGTGACATGCCGGTTCCACTCTTGTTAACAGTTACTGTAGCTTCTTTCGACCACCTTAGGCTATTCGATTTTCCACCAAATTACACATTATAATCACTCACTCCCTTTTCAATCTCGCTATTTTTTTACATTTCATTTATTTCCTGCCCTCCCTTTCTCTCTCAAGGAGGTAAACCTTCCCTTGATAATCTGTTGATAAAGAAACTTTTCACTGCATCGTTTTGATTAAAGTATTACCTTATGACATTGCCCTAGACTTGTTTACAGTTCTGTAGCATTACTGTAGCGATGCTTGAGCCTCTTGTTTTTCTTGCAGTGCATCTATGGAAAATCGAGTGGACCTGAATTTTTGAAAGAGGCCTGGACTGCAATAACATATCACAACAAGTGAGTAATGTAATGTTATCAAAGAACAATTTTTTGCTCCGTTCTATGTTATTCATTCCTGATGTTCTCTGACTTTTTTCTTCTGTCATCAATATTTTAGATCGACCACAGCTCTTTCTGTATTTTAGTGACTTTTTCAATAGATCAGTCCGTTTTGTGAACAGCTTTAACGTTAATTCTTGTTCAGACACGAAATTTTGTATTGTCATTGTTTGTTGAAGAGCATGCATTTCATTTTTGCAGAACGCCGGATTTTTACGAAGAAATCAAAATAAAGCTTCCTCCAAATTTGGGTGAGAAGCATCATCTGCTGTTCACTTTCTACCACGTGAGCTTCAAAAGCGAAGGTTCTGGCATTGTTGAACCAACTCCTGTCGGATCCACGGTAAATATAAACGCCTTTTTTCAAATCAAAGCTGTTTTGTGTGCATAATAGCGTCAAATTTTCCTACATTTTGATGTAATGTTTGAGCTTACATGTATTTGCTTTTTAGTGGCTTCCAGCTCTGAAAGAAGGTCGATTGCAGCTTGGTGATTTTTCCTTGCCTGTGGCTATCGATAAGCTTCCCTCAAGCTACAGTGTTTTGTCGACAGAGGTATTTCCCCATTGTCTTATTCGGTGCCTTCTTCATTTATAGTCTTCAATCAAGTATTTTCACCATAGTAACAAGGGTAAATTTTATTCTTGACTATATCTGTATCTAAGCCAGGAGGATTGTTTTGCCATAAATTGCCTCATTAGTTAATTTTATGGCAAAACTACCGATTGCTCTGTAGTTTTTGTCAGCTTTCATTTCGTTAAAAAAATGCTCGTATAAGTTAGAAACCCATCTCCGCCCTTTCTTTTGTTCGTAATTAGTGCACAGAAAAAAGTTGACTGACAAAGATTTTTGGGAGTGCTGTCATAGACGTCTTGCACAATTTAAAAACGGCTGCTAATAAGGCAGAGCTGCGGTGCCGCCCATTAACATTTGGATGGTAGACTACGCTTTGGGCATTTTCTAACTTCCATGCTGTTGATCAAATCCCTATATCTTTGATTTTGTGAAAGCTGTCCATCCACATTGAACAAAGCAGAGTTCATTTTATTTCTGTTACCCATGGAAGCTCCAAACCACAACAATTGGAGGCTGTTTAGTTTTGGAAATTTCTCAGTAAGTGACTCATTTGAGTCTTCCCATCAGTGGTAACGCTATGGCCCTGGGTATCCGAGAACTACCCGACCTCCATATTTTGAAGATTAAATATTGTTAAATAGAGTTAAATATTGAAGAATCATATATTCCTTTACAGCCATTCGATGCAACATTTTAAGGAATTCCTGTGTGTTGTGTTTCAGGTCCAACTGCCAAATATGAAATGGGTTGATGGTCACAAAGGTGTATTCAGTTGCTCTGTTCATACAGTTTCGTCTGTTCACACCCAGGTACTGTTGCCTCTCGTTTACGTGCTGGTAATATGCACCTTGTAATCTTTATTATCGAAGACTATACATAAGAGGTTGAACGATACATCATTAATCAAAGTATGTTTGAATTGCGCCTTTTTATTCCCTAGGATATCTACATACATCGGTTCTTTAGATTCTGTCATCAAGCAGAGGGCCGTATGCAGGCCTCATCATCATCTCGAGGCAATGAAAGCAACAGCTTAGAAGGGCTTCGCAAGAGCATCAAAGACCTTGAATATGCACAAGAAGAGCCATTGGTCCGGTTTTTGCACCTTATAACCGACAAATTGCTGATGTTGTTGGTTAGGCCACCAGCAGCTGCTGTCGGTAGGAATCTTAGCGCTTTACTTTGATAGAAACTATTGACTGGGAATTGAGAACCCTAAACACTGTAAAACACAGAGCATTAAAGAACCAATGTAAGCTTTTTCTGCTTAAAGGTCCTATTGAAAAAAACAGCTGTGTTTTATGATCGCTTTTGGCCATCTTTCTTGTGTTTCTCGGTAAAGCTCGTGACAACTGTTCATGAAAAACAACTAATTCGCACATGTTTGTTTCATCGTGCATCAGTGTACCCTTTTGCAATCTTTTACGAAAATTGGTGCTAAAAGGCCTTGAGTATAGGATTGTTTTTGGCCTTGAGTATAGGATTGTTGTTTGCGACATGCGATTATAAGTTCATGCGTATTTAGCAATTCTTCCAAGCAAAATTCAAGAGCAGCTTCTCAAAATATCTTTTTTTAATTTGATGCTATGTATTTGTGCTTTTACTGACTGGTATACGCTCGATACACTTTATAAGTTTGAAATTTCTTTGTTTCGCTGATGCTTTATCGTCTCAACCATTGTGTAGTAAGTTCCAACTAGGTCTAAGTAAATTCCCTTTGCTAAATTCGGAGCTTGAGAAACAGTTGTTGCACAGGGATGATTTGGTTTAATGTAAACTTGTCTTTCGATTTGCAGTGAATATTGGACAGGTTGCTTTTGAAGCTTTGAACCAGCTGGTACACAGGGTGCACATGCTGTTGGAATACAACCAAGACAAACATGGAAGGAATAGCTTGTTATCATCCTATGTGGCCTATGCGTTCAATTCCCACGTAGTGTCATCTCCTCCGTCGTCACCGCCAACGTCTCCAAGTGAGTAAGACAATTGCAAGCGTATTTTGTGAATATTTGTTTGATTTTGAATTTAAATATGAGAATTATGTCTCGGAATACTGTAAGCACAGGAGTAAGTAATTTTGTACTTATCAAAACCAGTTTTTCTGCGTATTGCGTAGAATAGTTTTATGTGAAAGCTAGAAGAAAAATGTTGTGTTAACTTCCAGTTATGAAAGAATTGAGTCTAATAATAGATTTTGTAAAACTTTGAAATAGCCTTGTGATTCCTTTGATACTCTTGGCATTTTCATATGGCGAATTTGAATCTTCATCAACTGATTCCTCAAGCTGAAGAAGTTCTTTCTTCTTGTGGCAGTACTTGTTGCATACATTCAATTGTCTTCCTATTTACATCGAGACCAGATACTAATACTTGAACCCCCCACGATTAACGGTTTGAAATTCTAATTTTTAAGGGCAAATTTTCAGTTTCGTCTACAACTTGCTTTTATAACTATAATTTTTAAAAGATAACTTAGATTTTGTGATAGTTTTGTTTGGTTTTATGAATGTGATAAAAAGCAAAATAACCTATAATGAATAATACTATGCCCGAAATTTTAATCAATTGGTGTGAAATTTTTAGCGCTTAATATTTGCCAAAATTTTTCATAGTTGGGTACAGGCCAGTTAGTCTGATGCCTCAAAGCACCGGCTCGCTCCAGGGCTCAAAAACAATGAGCAACAGCAACCCAAATCTAAGTGACCCTCTTGCTGGTCACGGCCATTCGATCAGCGTGGGTGGAATGAATGACCCATGGATGGCGGATTCGTTTGGTTATCACAACATACCGGGAAATAGAAGCAGGTACGATGTCGCATGACGTCATCTTGTTATATTATGCAATGCTTAGACAGTGTTGGTAATACTGTTTGTCACATAACACACGAAATTACATAAATACCATAAATAACCACGATAGGCCGCCGTTGTTTGTTGAGACATTTTGTTTTTCTAATCAACATCTATCTGATCTTTACGAAAACCAACAATTTTATTGACACGGTAGCCTCTATAAGTTTTTACAACATGGTAGTTGCACAGATATCGGCAACGTTTCAAATTGATCTTCCTTCTCAATATTGCTATGTTTAGCCAGGCATACTAAAAAAGCAGAATTTTTCAAAACGTATTAACGGAATCGTATTTTAATGTATTATTACTGAATCTATTACTTCCTCTAGGCCTTGTTTTATTCTAGCAAAGCTCCTTGTTTTATTCTAGCAAAGCTATTTTTAAGACGAAATGGAAAGTTTCTAGGCACATATTGAAAGACCATATCATCCAAATTTATATAGCATCAGGGCTATTATGCAAAATTTAATCATTGTATCATTTTATCAAGTACAGCGTTCTAAAGTGAAACTAGCCCGTAGCATGATATTGTTAAAAAAATTGTTTTTTGTATCGATAGTGTTGCTGAAGGAAGAAACTCTCGCTCGGGGATGGCTATCTCACCATTTTTTGGTAGCAAAAAGGTAAAATTACTAACAGCTATAGAAACCTCTGTCTGTTGCATTATACAAATCTTTTTAAATTGACTCGACTCCGGGTAACAGCTAACTTTAAGCATATTAAAAACAACGTTTTTACGTTTAAATAGCATAACATATCCAAACATGTTGATTTTCTATTGTTTTTTCTTTTGATTTCCAGTTCCCCGGCCCTTCCATGATTTCTATTTAGTTTTATTTCTGTTGAGAAGTTCGTGGGTTCCAGCTGGTACGTTTTTGCCCAATGTAGCAAGAGACAACAGTGTTACCCACTTTACCATAGTAACAAGGCTCCTTAAAATCACTCTTGCTACCTCTGCTGTACTTGTAATTTATTTATCTTGTAGCTGGTCCATGAAGAGTTGGCCTTGCAGTGGGCCGTCGCATCCCTGCCCTTCAAAGAGATGGCAATGGCACATGCATGGTTTTACTTTGAGCTAATGGTTAGTTATTTGTTAGGTCTTTACCCAACAAGCCGTTTTTGTTTGGCTAACTTTTTTGTGAAGTGGGTAGGGTTGGCTGCTCAGCCAAACTATGAAATATTCTCGTATGACATTGTTGCACGAAAGAAAAATGTTTTTTCATTCTTTTCTAGAAAATGAATTTTGCGTTGCAAAACTTGTCTGACAATGTGTCATTGTTGAAATTCCCGTGCTAAACAATGTATGGAACTTTGTATCTTTCCCTATGAAAATCACAATTTTTCTATTGCATAGTCCGTCTACACCATGCCAGACTTAGAAGCATTATGACACACGCCAAAATGTTATGTGAAATTTTTTTAATTTGGCCGTGCCTTAAGGGCTCAGCGCTTTTTTGGCTGTACCTACAGCACTGTTTGCGAGTCAATCTTATTTGGGTCTTGTTTATAAGTATTTTAGACCGATCTGTTTTGCTTTGAGTCTTTGACCATTGGCTAGCATCATAACCAACATTTGTGTAGTCCCGTGTTACAATCCCTATCGTATTTCAATCAGCTGAATTAAAACGTATTTATCAAATCCCTTGTTTACCTGAATGCAAACCTTGTACTCTTTCAGTAGTTCTTTGGTACCAAGTCCTATTGCATACTATCTATCTAGGTGCATCGCTATGTGATTCTTTTCTCAAGGCAAAGTTATAGTATTCAAAATAGAACACAATGTTTAGCGGCTGAAAATTAGCTTCCTATGCAGTATACAACCCCAATAGATTGTGACATGATCAAGAGAGCTGGGTCATATTCTGACCCATAATGATTCTATACTGATTAAAAATATTCTCTTCAACGTGTATCTTTTTGCAAAGTAAAAGGTATGTTTTATTTTAGGTCAAAAGTATGAGCCAATATTTGGAAAATGCTGACAAATTTTTCTACCCTCGGAAAGAACGCTTTCACGAGCGATATTTAGACGATGTTTCCGCCTTAGTCAATGCTGTTACAGTTGAAGTTGTCAGAAAACAGGAAAGGGTAATGCTCTTTGTCAATTTCAGCATTTCTAGGAAATAGGAATTTTTTGTCGGATAGATTCGATAATGCCCTATGTTCTTCTAATCACTTCTAGCTGAAATTTTTCTTCAAATGCTTAAACATGCTTAGCTATTATTTATGTTTATATAGACAAACCTCTTCTTCGAGACTTACTTTCTCTTCTTACTTTTTAAATAAAATTCCAGTGAAGTTCTTCCATTTTTATAATTATTTCAGATATTTTATTCCTCTTTCGCTCTTTTTATAGTGGAAATTTCAAGCTTGCGAATTACATCGTTAAACAAGAATTTTATTCCTTCTGCCGCTGCATTGACCGTAAAAATAAGGCAACATGATTTTAGTCATTGAAGATCAATGTTTTTTGTGACAATGCATTCATTATTGTTCCTTATTATTTCGTTTAACCTCGAAATCATTGACTTTAGAATTTTAGAAATGCAAGATTATTGAATGCAAGCCTTGGGTTCTTCCTCAATGACATAATTTCTTTGATGGATCGTGGTTTTGTTCTTATGCTGCTGAGAAATTACATGAAAGAAGTATGAAGAGTTTTTTTGAATTTATACAGTTGTAAAAACTAAACATGAAAATTAATATTTTTTTTAGCTTCATTTTGTTCAACATGTGAGCTCCTGCTTTCAAAGATGGGATATTTTGGAATGTTTTTTATCTTATATCTAAAAATTAGAAGATTGGGCATCCAACATCAAAGTTAATGGTTATTGTACATTTTCAAGATTTTCACCCATTTCTAAACTTCTGCGTTCTCATTACATTTCTATAGTTTAAATGAACTCTCGCAATTCTTCCTGTTAACGATTAATTGAAAATTGAGAAGAGATTCTGCATGATGAAATTAATCCCGTTGGCAAAATTTTGCTATGCCAAATGCTTTTATTCTTGTAAGAATTGCTCCAGTTTTTTATGAATTTTAAGGTAGCTGAACCCTCAACATTTTGTTTTAAGCCTTGAGAATGATGGCATGGTGACAATTTCCTGGTCGATGAATCTCTGTTATTTATATTTTCTAGATGAATGGACAAGGCGCTGGGAATCCCAATCTGAGTTTCTTAAAGTTAGAGCTTTTACACATCCTCTGTACACATGAGCATTACGTCATCCTAAATCTTCCGTTTCCATGCAACGACCAATCGCCGAACATTTCTCCTTCTCCTTCAATGAGTTCCATCACATCATCCTTGTCCAGCTTTTCTTTAGCAATCAAGGACCCAAGTCAGAGCCTTGGGGAATTATCAACTGAATTTAGAGAACAGCATTTCCTTGTCGGATTACTGTTGTGTGAACTGAAGAATGCATTTGACTCCAATGAACCTGACTTAATGAAGCAAGCAGTTGATGTTGTGCGGGACCTGATTGCATCACACGATCTTGACCTGCGCTTCAACACAGAAATCTGTCGCAACAGAATAGCGGCACTGTATCTTCCACTCATTGCAATCGCAATGGATGTCTTGAGCCAGCTGAGCGGTTTTGAAAACGAGAAGGATTCAGTCATATCTGAAGATATTGCCATGGCGATAGCAATGTCGAGTGTTCCAATGAGTCGTTCTGTATCGAAGCATGATAGCAGGATCGATCTTCAGCAACAGGTTTTTGAAAGCTTCCTTTTTTGTTACTGTCAAAAGTATCATCCACATAAGATTGAATTTAGGGAATCATATCAGCTTAGCATTAGCTATTGACGAAAGAATCAATATGTGCTAGAACCTCTTTTGATATCAGCATTAAACGTTAAGATTTTACAGTTTCAGTTACCTTTTAAGTATCTAAGGTTAAAGCACAATGGTAAAAGCAAATGAGATTGAATAATGAAAATTGCTTTTTTTACAAGCAAAGTATAGTCAATTGTCGTCCCATTAGAGGAGGCTCTTTTTATCTAGTGTCTGAAGAAAAGATACTAGATTTTTACACCTTTCATCCATTTGACAATGTAAATAATTACAAAGGGACAATTAATTTCTTCGAATTTTTTATGAACAGGGACAAAAGTAATCCACTGTAGTGTCTGCTTTGTTTGTTTCAGAAATCTTCTATTTAAATATTCGAGTTTCACGCTCAATGAAATCATCAGGCATCAGGCATCAATTTCCTTATGGTTGCTTTAAGCGTGAAGGTCAAATTGCATCTTAGCACCGCCCTGTTTTACACACTATAACGCAATAAATCCTTATATCATTAGTATTGTTATTTTATTAAAGGTTTCAAGAAGCGCTGTTCTAAATCCTGACTCAACACGAAGCCTTCTGCTTTGCTGTCTATGGGTTTTGAAGAACATTGAGAAAGCGACTTTGAAGCATTGGTGGCTGAAGCTGCCGTCCAGCAGGTTATACATTATGATCTACCTATGGCAAATTTCAGCTTTCATTTTTGATATGTATCTGATGATTTTAATTACGATAATAACACAGCAAGCGACTAAAAGCAATTTTGTTTGATTGTCAGATTCTGATGAATGTTTTAGAATGATATTTGCTTCTGTTTACTTTTGCAAGCTCGTTTATTGCCGTTGACAATTGTCACCTCCAACGTTGAATATGAATCTGCTGTACCATTGCGATATCTCTGCTCTCGTACCACACCACACAAAGGGATTGCACCCTGCAAACTGCACCCTGCAGACTGCACCCTGCGAAATGCACTCTGCAAAATGCACCCTGCAAAATGCACCTTGCAAAATGCACCCTGCAAAATGCACCCTGCAAAATGCACCCTGCAAAATGCACCCTGCAAACTGCACCCTGCGAAATGCACCCTGTGAAATGCACCCTGCAAAATGCACTCTGCAAAATGCACCCATCAAATACATACATATTAATTTTAGGAAAGCATTTCTCTACATTCTGCTTTGAAAGTTTTTGTAAGAGAATCATAAATTGACAGTTTCCCGTCAAAACTGACAGTACGTTTTACATTAAGCAATTCTTGTTGCCATTTCATAAAATACACTTAAATATCCATAAAATCATAGAACTACATCACTTTTTCTGAAAATTTATAGGGAATAGAAAGCTGAGTTAATGTTATTGATTGATTGATGTTTTGTACCAATCCACAACAGAAGGGTGGCTTAGGACGATTTCTGTTTTCATTGCTTCACAGACTTGGCCAGTTGCTAGAGGTTCTGGATTTGTGCATCAAGCTCTTCGAATACCCTGGGAAGAAGCCAGCAGTAGTTAAAGGAGCCGCACCTGCCAATCAAGCAAAGAAGCCGAAACAATCCGATTCCAAAATGAGGTTGCAAACGCTAGAAGAGGCTATATTGAATAAAGGTGCAGCGCGTGAAATGCTCCAGAGACACAAGGCGACAACGATGAGTATGTCCTTGAGTTTCGTATTTCTCATAAAAACGTTCAATGATTTTTTGAAATACTTCAAATAGATGTTCTTTGCTCATTAATGGTATTCTCAATATGTTCGTTAATTTCCCTTTTAATTGCTGGGACCTTCACCTTGGAAATTTTGTGAATTCTTTGCATTTGGCCCTATGGGGTCTCTAACCCAATCACTTGAACCCAAGTTCCTTGCACTGCACTGCAGACCTTTCCAACGCCGTTAAAGTTCTAAAGATACTTAAGTTCGTTTCTACCTTATAAGGCCAGGCTATTTTTAATGACATTCTTTCATGTTATATAATTTTTTTGCGACCAAAGACTAGGAAAGTTTCATGCAAGTAGGGTGTAAATAAATTCATCATTAAGAGTTAACCCCCTTAAATAAAATCAAAGGTGTGCTGTGCAAAAAATATCCATTAAGCTAAATAGCGGTTAGAACTTCAACCAGTCCATTTTGGTTGGCAAAACTTGGTATCAAATTTCAAGACTTTCTTAGTACCCCGATTCCAATATTTTTTCATTATTAAGCAGTTAAACAGCTTTCATGTATGGCTAGGTTAACAAATTTCATTTCATAGTTGAAGAAAGAAGTACAACACTATGGCTGTAATGTCTGCTGCCATTCAGAACCTCATTGTCTTTCCTTTTATAGGCAAAGATGACTCTCCAAAACTTCGATGGAGGAAAGAGCACACATATTGGAAAAAAACCACAGAACAAGGGCAACGGTTAGTATTAAAGTAGCTGCTCTTTCCTGTAACATATCTCATCAAAGCCTCGAAACAGGATTCAGTTCAATCCTATAATATATTTGCATTGGATGAGCATAGGTCATATAAATTTATAGTTATTAATTGATAATTTTGGTGTACAAAAATAAAAAACTGCGGTGGCTTACGAGTAAATTGAAACGCAATAATATATAAATATGCGTGTTTTAAACCGAACTGAAGAAAAAACCTAATTATTTTGCACAGTAGTTTGTTATTTATTTTATTGTAGGTTTTTGATTGTGCAATCCTTTTTCCATTATCCCGTTCTGAACTCTGTGTATTCATCCTTCTCTAAAATGCTGCAGGTGTGAATTGATGGAAATTTGCACATTATCCTTTAGTTTTTAAGACAAGTATACTTTGCTTATCCCAATATGGTTTACCATAATTCCTTTGATATTACTACTGTTATTACTGCCGTGCCGTCAATCTAATTATACTTTCCTTTCAGTGGAGAGGCTGAGTTGAGCTATCAAGTACAAGGAACCCTGGCAGCGGAAAGTGCTTTTATTGTTCTAGACGCACTGGAGCTTTTAATACAGGTACAAAATTTAACCACTTTCTTTTAGATTTTGGGGGTGCGAAATAAGAGTTTAGCAAGTGATTTGTAAAAAGTTAGTGTGTGTAGATCGCATTTGTTTGTCAATTGGATGACAGTTACATACAGCGTGTATTGATGCATCCAATGCTATGCTACTTCTATCACAGTGGTAAAAGTATTTGAAGTTTTTTCTTTGACAGACTTTCTTATTTGCTCAAATAAAATTTGAACCAGATTGCTCTGTCATAAATAACAATACGGCACCAGACACGTAAGATTATTCCCTTTAATGAAGAATACTGTTTTAAACTGGAGTGCAGAAATTTTCTTTGTAACTCCTTTATTTTCACACTCTTCGTGGTGGAAGCTGTTTTTATTCTTTAGTGTTAATTTGATATATTACAAAAAAGGCATCTCTTCGAGTCTTCTAAAATCTTTTCTAGACAATATTATCAAGCGATGTATTCCGGTTTGTCGTGAATTCGGCGATGCGAGTCCTTTTAAATGCACTGTCATGCAACCAAAGCACAGAGGTATTAAAGGCAATGTTTTCGTCAGAGAGAAGCATTGTGAGAAAGGTATGTCGCGAAATTAGTTTTTATGGTACAGTCGAATCCTGTTAAGTCGGATCTTAGGCTAGTAGCACCCTAACCCTACCCACCGGCCACCCAGGCAAAGGCAATCAAACCTGAAAGCAACCAAACCAAAACACTAGCCTCTTTATTCTTTAAGTGGATCCTTCCCACACGACTGATTAATAATGAGAATATCGACCACTTTGCAAAGTATTCACATCGTTTATTTATCTATCTTTTTCATCAACTTTTCATGATTAATCAATTTCCTTACGTTTTTTAGTTACCAGAGTTGCTGTTTGAGGTAGACACAGAATTGTGTGCAGATTTATGTTTCCGTCTGCTGAACCACTGTTGCTCGTCACTGAGTGAAATCAGATCTCAAGCCAGTGCTTCGCTATATTTGCTAATGAGGCAGAATTTCGAGATTGGCAATGTAAGTATAAAGATATTATGTAGGCCGCGAATTTTTCAATTCAATTCAATTTATTAAATTCAATTCAATTGGATAAGTACGTTTGCAATAAAAATACAGTAAAAAATTATTGCAGCTAGGGAGCTGTTTTTCTTGCTATAAGGTGTATCAAGGGATTTTCGTATTAGGAAGATGTCATCTGCAAATCTTTGTTAAGACGAAAAGGCAAACGAACTCAAGGCCTTGGTCGGGGAGAAAAGTACCTACTTGCCAACCTTGTATATAAAATTGAAGAGAATATTATAATTTCTTTGGATTTATTTTTAGGTTAAAATAAATTGGATAGATAAGCATGTGAAAATTTCAAAGCGTCTGTCTAATATCGTCTTCAATAATTTTTTGCTTTCGTTGTCAAATACAAATTTACCAAAATGGTAGGGTCGCCTCTTGTTGTTTTTTAAATCCATTTATATTTTTTGATCTTGTTGATCAATTTTTTCAGACTAAAACTGTTCTCAAAGAACCTTGTTGTTTTTTGCAATTTACCTTCGAAAAGAATCAGTCTGTACTGAAAATAAGCGGTATTTTGTTTTCTGCCATAGAACTTTGCCAGGGTAAAAATGCAAGTTACAATGTCATTGTCAACACTGGTTGGCTCCACTCAGGTACGAATTAAACCTTACAGATAAATTCCGAGTATTAAATTGATTGTTTATTTCTGGCTTTCTTCAGCATCCAACTTTTAAAGATGAATTCTTAGATTCTTTTAAGGCAATACCCTTGTGGTCACTACATAGCTTTCTAAATAACTGTGCCTAAGTCCTAGAATAATAGCTACATAGCAGATTTAGTGATGTCATATCACAGGACAAGCGTTAAAACATTTCTACTTATTTGCATTGATGCTAATGTGATACTTATGCTGGCTGTGCTTTTCCGCAAATTTTACACACCTATACTTAGCAGAAATTTTCTTCATTGTGTGGTTGTTTGATCGAACTTATTTTTGTTTTTAAAGCATTTCAACGAAGAGTACCTACGGAGATCTCTCAAAACGATAATAACATACGCACAAACGGACCAACAGTTCAGATCAACGCCGTTTCCTGAGCAGGTAATACCATAATATTGCACTGGTAGCTTTATCTTTAATACTGTGTAGCAAACATTGCCTCTTTAGCGTTCTAACCCTCGGCCCAACATACTTTTCCGTCTCTTCTAAATGTTTTCTGGGGGAAATGGAAACAAAATCCTTGATACCTCGATAAGATTGTGTCATTGGCTTTTTAACTACCAATGATGAAGTTAGAAGCTGTACCTTTCTTCAAAGATAGGATTGCCTTTCTCACTGCGTACAGCACATATTTTATTATTCTAGCTTTATTTCTTTGTGATTTTTTTATTCTATGATGATAATGAAAAAAGATCACATACACAGCATTCTTTTCTATGTGTTTTTATGAACACAGTATCCAGTAGTGCTTTGGTCTCCTTTCGGCTTGACCTCACTTCTAAAGGCTGGCTTCTTTCCCCACTCTAACTGAAGCCTATTCAATATGAGGATTAAAGCCGCTCTCAGGCAAACAGCTTTTATTTCTAAGCTGTTGGAATTAAGCCATCTAAAAGGTTCACGTAACTGATAATATGGTGAAGATGGTACCTTTAAGCATTTTTTTTCAGCAAGACCTCATCTGATAAACAGTTTCTAAACTGTAATTTTATTTAAGTTTTCTGCAACAGAATACTGCGCTTTCAAGTAACATTATAGAATTAAGAGCGCCTAAAAGTTTCAGTTTTAAGCGGGGGTCAGGTATCATAAAAACCTAATGAAGAAACCAAGATCAACGTTTTTCTTAAACATCTGCTAGAAAATTTTTTTACTTTTGTTGACAGGTCAGAGAACTAGTCTTCAACCTGCACATGATTCTGTCAGATACCGTTAAAATGAAAGAATATCAAGAGGTGAGTTGAAACAGACCAATTGAAAACTTTGAATTGATCGCGAGTGAGAAAGACTGTCACTTCAATCTATGTGTCATCAAAGCTGCTTGTTCAAAAGCTGCATAACTGATGTAGCCCCCTCACTTTTTATTGAAGTATTATATAACTCTTGTGGCATCAAGGGTAATGGTGGAAAAACTACATCAAAAGTTTGCTTATTTGTCTAGAGCCCCCTCTCCCCCAAAATGTGTTGCGATGTTCCTGTTGTGTTCTGGTTTGTAAGAACTAAGCCCATCTTAAAGAGAGCAGTGCATTGCCCAAATCCACAACCGCCGATATTTTTGCCATGGAATATCACATGAAATATCGTTCATTTTGAACATGTTAGGAGATATCAGCCACCATCCAATATTTTCAGTGTCTTACGATACTTTATATCATAAAGTTTAGAAACTAATCAACAGTTGGGAAAAACCGTAAGTAATAGGGTGTTGTTCATTGCAAGAAATATTGAAAACAAAGCGTAAGGAAATGTTAAGTCCTATTTTTTAAGAAGATATATAGCCCTAAATCTTTTACTCTTGCACTAGATATGTAACCCGAATTTTTTTATTAACTCTTGCACTAATTTCATATTATGTAGGATCCTGAGATGCTGATCGACTTGATGTACCGCATTGCTAAAGGGTATGACACCTTTACCCTATCTCTCTCACGTCTACCAATGTAGTTCTGTCATTTGCAACCGTTTATTCGACAAAGAGACATCTTTATCTCCTGGTTTTAAGGCTGGCAATGTTTTTTTAAAATGTTAATGGACTTCTAGAAAAAACATCTTTGGCGAAGTTCAATATTGTGTTCACGAATTTTATATTGTATATAGTTTATATTATAAAATTTTCATAAAGCATTCAGTGTGTAAATTAATTGTTAGGGCGGTTTTTTCCCATTAAGAAGTAATCTAAGACAACATTTTGCTTCGGATTTCGTTCGTAAACTTTTTTAAATCTGCTTTTCATCGCCCATAACTTTTACCCAGATACCAAAACTCTCCTGATCTGCGATTGACATGGTTACAAAACATGGCAGCAAAGCACAGCGACAGTGGATGCCACGTGGAGGCTGCCATGTGCCTGATTCATTCTGCTGCTCTAGTCTCCGAGTATCTCTACATGGTCATTGACAAGAGCTATCTCCCCATCGGCTGCGTAGACTTCGAAGGTATCACTTACAATGCCTTGGAGGAGAGTGCAGTTTCCGATGACATAGTCTCACCTGTAAGTCTATGTTTATGCTTGATTTTGAATGTTTACCTTTTGAGTGGTCAACTTACTTGAAAAGTTACCAGAAACTCCATGTACTAGGTTTAAAGTGTGATTTTAATGAGGGATAGTTGCAGTAAGGTCACTTTTCATACTGCAGTACTGGAGATAATGCTTGACTCAAAGAATACATGTAATCAATAACAATAAAGATGATGTATTCTATATCCAATCGACTATAGCGATCAAACCAGAAATATGCGTGGGATCTACGTAAAATATGCGCGGTTTGCTTTGTGAGTCATCGCTAGAAATACACAAAAAGCTAAAAGCTGTACGCTAACCTTTTTCTGACTTTACGCATTTTCTTCACCTTCAGGAAGAAGAAGGAATTTGTGCGGGCAAATATTTTAGCGAAAACGGGATTGTTGGCTTACTGGAGCAGGCTGCATACTCCTTCACAATGGCAAACATGTATGAGCTGGTGAACGAAGTTTACAAAATACTTATTAAGATTTATGAAGCTAAACGAGATCACAAAAAGTTGGTAGACGTCCACGAGAAGTTGGCAGATGGCTTTAAGAGGATTGTTCAGACGGTAAGAATTTGGGTATTCAATTCCACCTCATTATGTTTTTATTGAGTTGAAATTTGTATTGTTTTAAAGAGTAAGAAATCGAGGATACTGAATTTGATAAAAAGTAAAGTGTTAATTTTGTTAATTTTCCAGGAAGGTAAAAGGATGATGGGTACATATTTCAGAGTGGGCTTTTATGGTGCAAAATTTGGAGATATTGATGGGGAGGAGTTTATTTACAAAGAGCCAGCTATTACCAAGTTGCCTGAGATTTCCCATAGGCTACAGGTATGGTCTTCTCATTACATTAATCCATTATTTATTGATGTTTATTCTAGAGCTCAAGCCATTATGGAATGCTGTTGTTTTATGCCAAAGTGAAAATGTAAACATTTCTTCCTGCTGATAGCAATTGAATTGTTAGCATTTGTTTTCTCGGCAAGAATATTTTTCTCGTTGTTATGAAGTTCTATACACCTTGCAGTCTCGTCCAGCATTTTATTTGCAATATATCCATCAAATCAATATCATCAATATCAATATCATCAAATTCAATATCATCAATATGAATATCATCGATGTAAATATCACTGTTATCCACACAATATCATCAAAATCTATATCTACATCTTCGATATCAATATTATCAACCCCATCAATATCAATATCATCAATAACGATATGATCAATAACAATATAATCAATATCTTTATCTTCGATATCGGTATCATCAATTTTGTCGATACTATTATCAATATCGTCGATGTCAATATATATACCTTCGATACCCATATCATCAATATCATTGATATCATTTCATTGTAATCCCCGAATTTGACCGACCGTTATTTCTATACATTTTTCAAGGCATTTTATGGAGATAAATTTGGATACGAGGTGATTGACGTCATTAAAGACTCGAGTGTAGTTGACCCAAATCGCCTGGATCCAAACAAGGTAATATTTACTTTCCTTTTGACTCCTGGAAAAGGAACCATTACCTGTCATCTGTCAAACTGTCAAAATTTGTCAAACCTGTCAAAATTTTGTCGCACTTTCTATTTGAGAAGGCTGACTTAAGCTGATAGTAGACATTTTGTTTATATATCTTGATGGTTCTTAACTTATGATTGCAACTGTGAAACTCAGAGTTGCAACTCAAACTTTCCCATTATAAACTCTCCCAAAAACGTATATAGCACTGTTAATACGGCATTGAGTACTTTATGACAGGCCATTAAAACAGTAATTCTCCTATTATGCCTTTCTCCGAAAGTCGCCCTTCTTTGCATTAAATAAACCTGTTTGGTTGTTATTGTAAATTTCTATAGACCTACTTCCCTCGTCCTTTAGATTTTACCTCAACAGCAATTGTTTTCCTATTATAGATCTTAACTAGAACTTCTGTTCTAAAGACAATCCGTAAACCTTACTGAATATTTTAATTTCAGGCCTACATACAGATAACATACGTCGAACCTCTCTTTGAAGAATGGGAATTGGTGGACAGGATTACCTACTTTGACAAGAATAATAATCTGCGTAAGTTTTCAGAAACAGATTATGCGGTTCGAAGAGTTTTGTCAAATTCTTTCCATTTAACATGTGATAATGGGAACATTTCAAGTTCATCCCACAGCAATTTTCTTAAAACGCTCATCAGAGATTGAAATATGGGAGAATACCAAAAGGCGAAAAAGTTTCTACCAAGAAGTGATTGTCAATTGACAAAAAGTTGACATTATTTGACTTTTCTGATAAAATTGTATCCCCTACACTATGCCTTGATTCAAAAGTTTTGCAAACAGCCTCTCCTCCATTTCTTGGCATAAAACTTATACGAGTTTTGGCCATCATCTGACGTTGGACGCTGCCATAAATGTCGGAAGAAAACTTTTTACAGCTTTGCCACTATCTTTTTCTACATCAGACGTTTTTTGAGCGCAATGAAATCATTCAAGACTGGATCCTTTAAAAAGTTACATGTAGAAAATTCTACGTAACTGTCTATGATAATGTAGCAAGAGAAACACAATCGTATAATTCCTTCAAACATTCCGGATACAATGGTCTTTTCATTCCAATCGTTTATCACCACGTTTACTACTTAGATGCAAATCAGAATCATCTTTTCATTTTTTGGATCTTTAGTCGTTATCTTGCTTTTAGTACTCTGGTAGATTCTTTCAAAACCATTTTCACAAACTTAAGTTTTCTTTGCAAGTAGCCTGGAACACATTCTTGAATATTCAAATACTCCCAGAAAAACTCTCTTCAACTAATACCCGCAAATAAAGGGCATTTCCAAATCACAGACAAATGATTCGTCTAATCTTGGTCGTTTTAGAAGATGCCTCTAGAAAACGACTGTTTTTATTCAATAAATTATGCCCATTTTTTGGGGTCTTTGTTGAATAACGCTTTATACACAGACGAATACGCACATATTGGGTACCCACTTTGAAATGTGACGTAGAATAGTATTTTGCTTTCTTTTACAGGGAGATTTATGTTCGTTACACCTTTCACGCCAAGCGGAAAAGCCCACGGTGATTTATCGAGTCAGCACAAGAGAAAGACGATTCTAACTGTTGGAAATGCATTTCCGTACATTAAAACAAGGATCAGTGTCATTCAAAGAGAAGAGGTGATTGTGATCTCGTCTTGCAATTGATGAAAATTGTGTAAAGTTACAACTTTAAAGTTAAATGCATTCTTGCATTCAGAATGTAAAGTTACAAGTATTCTTGCTGAAGGAGACTTAACAACTTGCAATGTGGGAATGTTAACTATTTGTTTGCTTACAGTTTAAATATCAAATTCAATGTTTTGAAAAATTGTACAAAACTTATTGCACGAATCATCTTTCTTGAAAATCTACTTCAATAAGCTTGAATCTTTCCACTACCAAAACCTGTAGTAAAAGATTACATTTATAGTATACCATCTGCCAACAGCTATTAATTAGCACAGAAAAACTATGCTGAGTCTTGACAGGTAGTGGATCTTCACATGTCTAATCAAAGGTGTATAAAACCTACCCTCGAAATGGGGTTTCTTATAAAACAAGCAACAACATGCCAAGGACTTTTCGTCTAGTTTTGAACCTAATTTGTCTTTCAGATCGTGCTTTCACCCATTGAAGTAGCAATCGAGGACATCCAACAAAAGACAAAAGAACTGTGTCAAGCAATCGAAACAGAGCCTGCTGATGCGAAAATGCTGCAAATGGTTCTTCAAGGCTGTGTTGGAACGACTGTTAATCAAGTAAGTAGATTAAGATAAATGTATTTTACTTTTTTATGCTCATATGAATTTACGATACACTTTTACAAACAACAGTACCACAACGACACCACAAGGGCAGGAATCTTCATAACAACCCTGTGGCCCCTCACAGTTGTCTCAATGTCTATTCAAGAAATGATGCTAGGGAGGGTAAATATATAATTACCCAGGGAGGGTAAACATATGTCAGAAGAGACACCCAGGATGGTTTGCATGTTTATATACACCAAGCTACCTTTGCAAGCAAGCTTTGATAACGGAATCTTAAAATAGAAAAAAACTAGATAGAAAATATCTGCGAGTCTATAACTTGATAGGACTTGAACAATGATGGCCTAAATGGCCTACTCTTGCTGTTATTTCCTTAGTTTTGAATGGCCTGCTCCTAAACTGTTTTAACATAAATTTTATGAAGCAAATACCTTTTAGGGACCAATGGAAATCGCCAATGTATTTTTAACTGACTTTGAAAGAGGACAAAATGAGAATGCAGCAATAACAAGGAATCACCACAAATTACGTTTATGTTTCAAAGAATTCGTCAAAAGGTACGTTTATTCCCTTATATGAATTACAAGTGATGTCTATCAGTAGCTACTCCGTTTTACACGCTTAATGCAATCATCACGCAACCAAATTGCTACTGCTATATAAATGCATATCCTGTCTATCGACTATCTTTTGCTTTAATGTTTCCCCGCTTCTTTGTATGACGTCAGCTTGTGATGAAGTTAAAAAGAAGCATTATAATTATGTATTGCTTAGCTTTCCCTTCTCCAGATGAAGGTCTAGTGTCAAGCTTGTGAAACTCAAAAGGATATAGTTTGCATAAGTGGACCTGACCGTCGGTGAGAGGAAAGGAATTTGATAATGGTGGGGGTACTTCCTACTCGAATTCCAATTTTGCCCAAAAATCCTCTAGTGGCCCTGAGTACTATAAGGGAGTATATAGTGGCCCTTTTGCTATTGAAAGAACCTTTCCAGAGTTATCGTAGAAAATTCTGTGCTTCACTCACGCTGCTGAATTGGGCTTTGTGTTTCGTAAAGGCGATTAACATTCACGTTGCATTGAATCTTTTTCTGGGATGATATTCTTAGGATTCACTCACTAGACTATGTATTATGTACAAAAATTGATGTTAATTTAGTGTTGTAAAGTAGCAAGCTTACTGAATGATTTTAACCTCATGTAAGGCCAAGCTTAGATTTGTCAGTATGTCATGATACCAAATGTATCGTTGAAGCTAGAGGCAGCCACCGAGTATGTTTACATAGGGCCACAACTAAAAATATGAATGCAAACATGCATTTTCAACAAAGAGCTGATGAAAAGGGTTGTATAAGTGCCTCTTGTTTTAACACATAGGTAACAAAAGGTCAAGAAAAGGAGAAATGGAAAGGAAATGTGCCTCTTAGGTTAGATAACAGGGAATTTACAAATAGATAAGGATAGTGCTGATTTTGTATAGGGTAGGCGCCTTTTTTGGTTTGTTCAGACAACCTGTAGAGGATTGTTTATCTGCTGTCTGGGTCATATGCACCCTCCAGTCATATGCTATTTTTTTCAGCACTAATGGAACAACTATGTCGCCCCAAGCCTTGCTGTACTGGAGCACTAAAAGCGCCGATTATTTTCTTTGCTAACTAACTCTTTGCTTCTTTTATGGTTTATTCCTCGAAATTAAAGATAGCAAATAACTGCTATTCAAAGTTATCTGATTGTATTGGGAATAACTCTTCAGTACACACCCACCAGAAGGGGGGACGATGCAGTGATTATGTACGTAAATAAAAAAGGAAGATGATTTGCTAAAGGTGTGTGTCTGCATATGCAGAATCCTCAGCTACAGATCGCATCTTATAAGATAATAAAGGTTTTTGCGCTCTGGCTACATTCTAACTCCTTACTTATTATTCTATTTATTATTATTATTATTATTATTATTATTCTAACTTCGAGTAGCATTTTTTGTTTTACTGGGAAGTTTAGAATTCGCCACACGTCAATATATAATTAACTGTATAAAATTGCTGCTCTCATGGGGAGGGGAACCCTAGCTATGCTTGTCACATAGTGGCCCGGTTCAATATTCCTGGTGGAAATATCCTTTAGCGTCTTTTTGTACTTTAACATGTTTGTGAATATGCGGTGGAAAAAATTCTGATTAAATCCCTTCGGAAAGTTGAATAAAAGTTCGAATGTTTCTTGTTTTATACAAAGTTGAGTTCACGAAAGAAGTGATAGTTCATGCTACAAGAAGTATCTTTAATAAATTTTCTATAATTGCTTTTAAACTGTTATTTGCAAGATTTGCAAGTTCATGTTTTGTTCCTCAAAGGTCTGCAGAGGCACTTTCAAAGAACAAAACTTTAATCACCCCGGATCAGCGAGCATACCAAAAAGAGTTGGAAAAGAACTACAAAGTATTCGTTGACAAGCTGGAACCGCTACTTAAGAAGCGATTTGGTACGCTCCGTGGATCACTAAGAAAGAAGTAAGCAAAATGTTTTTCTTTATTTCAGTTTTATTGACATGAGTTTTATGAAAAAAAATAACAGTATCTACTAATACTATGATAATATAACATTTTTACACGTTTTAAGTAAAGAACTTTTGACATGTTGTGCGTCATTCATTTTGCAAGACCAAACATACAATATACTTCATGGTTATGTCGCAAAAATATGAACACTCAATTTAATAATATTTCTAAGCGAAAATCATCATGAAGGCAAGAGCGTTTGGGCCTTGGTAAAAATCAACGTTTTCGAAAAAACTTATGCGTCTGTTTCAAAAATTGGTTTATGTAAAAAGTAATAATGGGCTTCGAGATTGAAGAAAGATCAGTACTTGCACTTTGTCAAATAACCAATTTTGATCCGTGTTAGAAAAATGTATTCTTTTCTTTGTTATAAATGCATCATTACATTTTTTCCATCGATTTTAGTGAATTTTTCCTTATTGTGTTGAAACTATCCTGCTTTTGCAAAATAAGTTTGGTGTTACATGTCTATGAGTTATTCAATATTGTGTATTGCGCAGTCCTTCAAAATGGCTCAAGTCCGTTAAGAAACGTTGAGAAAAGTTTCGTACTGAAATCAAGAAATTTCTAAGAAAGTAAAAAAACTCGTGGAGTTGTGAGGCTCTTTGCTTTTTGGGTGTTGACAAGTAGCAAAAAATCATTTGTTTAACGAAAATATTTTGTTATATGATATTTTTCAGTTTATATTTGAAGTAATTTTGTTTTCTTTCCGCATAGTGAGCAAACATTTTATTGCTATAAAGTTCAGTATGGCCCATAAAAGTACATTTAGCCCTTTGCTTCTTTGTTTTCAATTTGGTGTTTCTATTTTTTGTGCCTTGCACCTTTAAACAGTTAAACACGATTATCGCTAGATAGGAAGCTGCTATTTACCAGGCTAGAATTGCATGCAGAAGTTCACAGTTAATAATCCAACTTGACATTTCAAGGCATACACTCGCACTTCTAGATGCTTTGGGCAAAGTCCTATTATTATGCTATAGGCAATTTGGATCGTACTCCCTACTTCCAAATTGGAAACCTCTAGCCAAAATCATGCTTGTTGTCCAGCCCAAACTACATGAGATGCTAAAGTTTCTGCACATTCGTTTACTGTTTTAGCTCTTATTGTGCTAACTTTCTCTATCATCTTTTGGTTCGTCTCCGTATGATATTTAATGGAAAATTTGTTTCTGTTTAGAGATGGTATGTGATTGTGAAATTAACAGCAGGATCATTAGAAGAATTTCAACATTTTTATCAAAGACACCGCAGCATTTTCTCTTTCTTTCAATCGCAACTTACTTGGAAATAGAAAGGGATCTCTTCACTCCAACTAGTAGAATTGTCTTGTTGAAAACGAAGGTAAGAGCTACTAGTGATGATTGTAGGAGAAATCTTGTTAGAAACATAGCCTGTGTTTATATTATTAACAATTATTATTTTCATTAACGTAGAATAAAGAAATGTATTTACCTACAAATTTCTGTTAATCGAACTTTGTCAGTTTACATTACTACTCTTGTTCTTATAAACACTTAAAACAAGACAAAAATGGCCTGTCCCATGTCTGTGATTTCAATATTATTCGAATTTGGAAGCAATGTATCTCATATGATTCCTGTTTTGCAAAACCAATACTTTTCTAGGGTTTTGTTTATTTCCTATGAGGAGTTTCATTCGTAACCTACAGATTCTAGTTAATTCTAAACAAATTCTAGATGGGAACCCCTTGCTGTGCGTCGTTTGCGGCGTATTTAATCTAAAAATGACATGGCACGGAAAGATAATTTTCTTGCTTTACGTTGTGTGTGGGGATACTGATCTTTTCACAATCAACTAAAACTTTAAGATTTGAGAGTCTTAAGTTGCTCATCGTATCAACACATTTTCTATGTATTATTAATTATATTTAAATAATGGGAAATATGTTGTTGCAATTATCAAAAGAGTGTTCTCTTATTGAATGCTGTTAATTGTTTGTGGAAATGGTTCGGTGCTGTAGTAAATAGCCCTCGTTTGATTTGCCAAACCAAGCAACGGTGGCAATGGCTTAGGTGACAATTGTAAATATGGTGCAACGGTCGGCCCATTTTCTCTGATTGGACATACAAAGGTAGCTTGCTCTGTAACCCTTTTAATGTCGCATTGCATTCTAAAGAAGGGACATGTCGGCGTGCCATGCCAGTATCTGATGAATGGTGGCATCACAAGCAGGCTGTCACTGTTTACTCCTCTGATCTCTAGATGCTCCTTTTCTTCTTTTTTCTCTAAAAAGATTAGATTTGTTTTTAGAAAAAGGGGCACGCCAAGCCACGTTGGCCTATAATTAGGATTTGTAGGATTTCTTTGCTACCATCGTGCTGGATTAGTTGGACAATGTAAAAAATTATATCCAATGGCATAAATTAACATATAAAATGTATCATATTTGCAAAGCTTACCATTTTATTTTACCATTTTATCTTCACCATACAGATACCTTGCCTGCATGTCTACCCTGTCTTCTAAGAATGATCTCTTGAAATTACCAAAACCCCTCAAATTAAATCTCCTCTTCACCTCCTTTCGATTCTACAAAGAAACAGCAACTTCACGTACCCCTTGTGTCATGTTATGGCAGAAACATCACAATTTACTTACTTTGTTTTAAAATGGGCTTTCGTCTTGCTTTTGAGGCATCTTCTTTCAGCTGTTCTCTTCTCAACTGTATCAAACGTGCCATAATTCTTCTTTTTCTTGCCACTAGTTCACATTTAGAACACCCGCATGTCTTCCATGGACAAATACGTTTGTGACCTTTGAGAACCGCCACAAAACCGTGAACTCGACATAGAGCGCATGTTGGGACCCTGTGACATGCCTGCATATTTTTATCATTGAGGCTCATCCTAGCTTGCTCAAACTGTTGTTAGATTCAGTGGAAAACCCAATTATCCTAAAGTTCCTTTTTGGTTACGCACGGCGTTATAACTCCTGTCTCTGTGTAAAGTCATCCGGCATCTGTGTTGGTTTTAGTTTCAAGTTTCAGAGTAGAGTAGGAAGTGTCATTTGTGTTATAGACCTGCCTAATAATGACGTCATATCACCTTTTTCGATCCATATTCAGGAGCAAAAATTTCAAATACCTTTTTATGGGGAAACTCAGTAACAGCTTTTGCTAGCAAGTGTAAATTAACCTTTATCTAAAGACAGTCTCCCATTGATCACACGTCACCGACCTTAGTTTCAGGCAAGCCCAAACAGTTTCAAAAGCTTAAGAAAAATTAATTTCCTTGTAAACAGAAGCAGCGGCTATCGAGTAAAGTAAAACATGGCTGAAGCAACCAGGTAATGACATTTTTTAAAAACACGATTTTCAACAGATTGAAACGTTTCGCCCCATGGAACCTAGAACTCTTAAAAAACCCCATTTCCACACACAGACCTCAACACCTTAAACAAACGACTTTGGGTCTAAAAAATATTGTACGAAGTATCTGAAGATTCTATTGCCTATCTTGCTTTCTAATGTTAGAAAATGACTATCAACTAAAAATAATGCCTTTTTTCAAGGTTATGGACGATATGGCAAAAGTTTAGGGGTGTTGTTTAATGAAAAATGTAAGGTTATAGCCTTACCGAAACGATCGATTTTTGAACAAATTTTGGTTGTCCTAATTCTTGTCTATTTTCCTTCCCAATGCTAGTAAATGATATTTAACTAAAAATAATGGAGTTTCTAAGAAGTTATGGACGCAAATAGGCAGAGTTTGAAGGTGTACTTTTGATGAAAAATGTAAGGTTATAGCCTTACCTAAATAATCGATTTTTAAACAAATTTTGGTTCTCCTAATTCTTCTCTATTTTCCTTCCCAATGCTAGTAAATAATATTTAACTAAAAATAATGGAGTTTCTTAGGAGTAATGGACGAAAAAAGGCGAAAATTTAGGGGTATTGTTCTGATGAAAAAGTGTAAGGTTATAGCCTTACCAAAATGATCAATTTTTGAACAAATTTTTGTTGTCCTAATTCTTCTCTATTTTCCTTCCCAATGCTAGTAAATAGTATTTAACTAAAAATAATGGAGTTTCTAAGGAGTTATGGACGGAAATAGGCGAAAATTTAGGAATATTGTTTTGATGAAAAAGTGTAAGGTTATAGCCTTACCAAAATTATCGATTTTTCAACAAATTTTTGTTGTCCTTATTCTTCTCTATTTTCCTTCCCAATGCTAGTAAATAGTATTTAACTAAAAATAATGGAGTTTCTAAGGAGTTATGGACGGAAATAGGCGAAAATTTAGGGATATTGTTTTGATGAAAAAGTGTAAGGTTATAGCCTTACCAAAATTATCGATTTTTCAACAAATTTTGTTGTCCTAATTCTTGTCTATTTTCCTTCCCAATGCTAGTAAATAATATTTAACTAAAAATAATGGAGATTGTTAGGAGTTATGGACGAAAATAGGCAAAGGTTTAAGGGTGTTGTTTTGATGAAAAAGTGTAAGGTTATAGCCTTACCAAAATTATCGATTTTTGAAAAAAATTTTGTTGTCCTAATTCTTGTCTATTTTCCTTCCCAATGCTAGTAAATAATATTTAACTAAAAATAATGGAGATTGTTAGGAGTTATGGATGAAAATAGGCAAAGGTTTAAGGGTGTTGTTTTGGTGAAAAATGTAAGGTAATAGCCTTACCAAAATTATCGATTTTTGAAAAAATTTGTACTTTTGATGAAAAATGTAAGGTATAGCCTTACCAAAATTATCAATTTTTCAACAAATTTTGGTTCTCCTAATTCTTCTCTATTTTCCTTCCCAATGCTAGTAAATAATATTTAACTAAAAATAATGGAGTTTCTTAGGAGTTATGGACGAAATAGGCGAAAATTTAGGGGTATTGTTCTGATGAAAAAGTGTAAGGTTATAGCCTTACCAAAATGATCAATTTTTGAACAAATTTTTGTTGTCCTAATTCTTCTCTATTTTCCTTCCCAATGCTAGTAAATAGTATTTAACTAAAAATAATGGAGTTTCTAAGGAGTTATGGACGGAAATAGGCGAAAATTTAGGGATATTATTTTGATGAAAAAGTGTAAGGTTATAGCCTTACCAAAATTATTGATTTTTGAACAAATTTTTGTTGTTCTAATTCCTGTTTTTTTCCTTCCCAATGCTAGTAAATGATATTTAACTAAAAATAATGGAGTTTCTAAGGAGTTATGGACGAAATAGGCAAATTTAGGGTGTTGTTTTGATAAAAAAGCCTTACCAAAATATTTGTTGAACAAATTTTTGTTGTCCTAATTCTTGTCTATTTTCCTTCCCAATGCTAGTAAATAATATTTAACTAAAAATAATGGAGATTGTTAGGAGTTATGGACGCAAATAGGCAGAGTTTGAAGGTGTACTTTTGATGAAAAATGTAAGGTATAGCCTTACCTAAATGATCGATTTTTGAACAAATTTTGGTTGTCCTAATTCTTCTCTATTTTCCTTCCCAATGCTAGTAAATAATATTTAACTAAAAATAATGGTGTTTCTGAGGAGAGATGGACGAAAAAGGGCGAAAATTTAGGGGTATTGTTTTGATGAAAAAGTGTAAGGTTATAGCCTTACCAAAATGATCAATTTTTGAACAAATTTCTGTTGTCCTAATTCTTCTCTATTTTCCTTAATGCTAGTAAATAGTATTTAACTAAAAATAATGGAGTTTCTAAGGAGTTATGGACGGAAATAGGCGAAAATTTAGGGATATTGTTTTGATGAAAAAGTGTAAGGTTATAGCCTTACCAAAATTATCGATTTTTCAACAAATTTTTGTTGTCCTAATTCTTCTCTTTTTTCCTTCCCAATGCTAGTAAATAATATTTAACTAAAAATAATGGAGTTTCTAAGGAGTTATGGACGGAAATAGGCGAAAATTTAGGGATATTGTTTTGATGAAAAAGTGTAAGGTTATAGCCTTACCAAAATTATCGATTTTTGAACAAATTTTTGTTGTCCTAATTCTTGTCTATTTTCCTTCCCAATGCTAGTAAATAATATTTAACTAAAAATAATGGAGATTGTTAGGAGTTATGGAGAAAATAGGCAAAGGTTTAAGGGTGTTGTTTTTGAAAAATGTAAGGTTATAGCCTTACCAAAATTATCGATTTTTGAAAAAAATTTTGTTGTCCTAATTCTTGTCTATTTTCCTTCCCAATGCTAGTAAATAATATTTAACTAAAAATAATGGAGATTGTTAGGAGTTATGGATGAAAATAGGCAAAGGTTTAAGGGTGTTGTTTTGGTGAAAAATGTAAGGTTATAGCCTTACCCGATTTTTAAATTTTTGTTGCCTTACCAATAATCTTATTGAATTTTTGAAAAATAAGGTTATAGTTGTCCTAATTCTTCTCTATTTTCCTTCCCAATGCTAGTAAATAATATTTAACTAAAAATAATGGAGATTGTTAGGAGCTATGGACGAAAATAGGCAAAGGTTTAAGGGTGTTGTTTTGGTGAAAAATGTAAGGTTATAGCCTTACCAAAATTATCGATTTTTGAACAAATTTTGTTGTCCTAATTCTTGTCTATTTTCCTTCCCAATGCTAGTAAATAGTATTTAACTAAAAATAATGGAGTTTCTAAGGAGTTATGGACGGAAATAGGCGAAAATTTAGGGATATTGTTTTGATGAAAAAGTGTAAGGTTATAGCCTTACCAAAATTATCGATTTTTGAACAAAATTTTGTTGTCCTAATTCTTGTCTATTTTCCTTCCCAATGCTAGTAAATAATATTTAACTAAAAATAATGGAGATTGTTAGGAGCTATGGACGAAAATAGGCAAAGGTTTAAGGGTGTTGTTTTGGTGAAAAATGTAAGGTTATAGCCTTACCAAAATTATCGATTTTTGAACAAATTTTTGTTGTTCTAATTCCTATTTATTTTCTTTCCCAATGTTAGTAAATGATATTGAACGAAAAATAATGCAGTTTCTGAGGAGATATGGACGAAAAAAGGCGAAAATTTAGGGGTATTCTTTTGATGAAAAAGTGTAAGGTTATAGCCTTACCAAAATGATCAATTTTTCAACAAATTTTTGTTGTCCTAATTCTTGTCTATTTTCCTTCCCAATGCTAGTAAATAATATTTAACTAAAAATAATGGAGTTTCTAAGGAGTTATGGACGGAAATAGGCGAAAATTTAGGGATATTGTTTTGATGAAAAAGTGTAAGGTTATAGCCTTACCAAAATTATCGATTTTTCAACAAATTTCTGTTGTCCTAATTCTTCTCTATTTTCCTTCCCAATGCTAGTAAATAGTATTTAACTAAAAATAATGGAGTTTCTAAGGAGTTATGGACGGAAATAGGCGAAAATTTAGGGATATTGTTTTGATGAAAAAGTGTAAGGTTATAGCCTTACCAAAATTATCGATTTTTCAACAAATTTTTGTTGCCCTAATTCTTGTCTATTTTCTTTCCCAATGCTAGTAAATAATATTTAACTAAAAATAATGGAGATTGTTAGGAGTTATGGACGAAAATAGGCAAAGGTTTAAGGGTGTTGTTTTGGTGAAAAATGTAAGGTTATAGCCTTACCAAAATTATCGATTTTTGAAAAAAATTTTGTTGCCCTAATTCTTGTCTATTTTCCTTCCCAATGCTAGTAAATAATATTTAACTAAAAATAATGGTCATTGTTAGGAGTTATGGACGCAAATAGGCAGAGTTTGAAGGTGTACTTTTGATGAAAAATGTAAGGTATAGCCTTACCTAAATGATCGATTTTTGAACAAATTTTGGTTGTCCTAATTCTTCTCTATTTTCCTTCCCAATGCTAGTAAATAATATTTAACTAAAAATAATGGAGTTTCTAAGGAGTTATGGACGGAAATAGGCGAAAATTTAGGGATATTATTTTGATGAAAAAGTGTAAGGTTATAGCCTTACCAAAATTATCGATTTTTCAACAAATTTTTGTTGCCCTAATTCTTCTCTATTTTCCTTCCCAATGCTAGTAAATAATATTTAACTAAAAATAATGGAGATTGTTAGGAGTTATCGACGCAAATAGGCAGAGTTTGAAGGTGTACTTTTGATGAAAAATGTAAGGTTATAGCCTTACCAAAATGATCGATTTTTGAACAAATTTTGTTGTCCTAATTCTTCTCTATTTTCCTTCCCAATGCTAGTAAATAATATTTAACTAAAAATAATGGAGTTTCTAAGGAGTTATGGACGAAAATAGGCGAAAATTTAAGGGATATTATTTTGATGAAAAAGTGTAAGGTTATAGCCTTACCAAAATTATCGATTTTTCAACAAATTTTGTTGTCCCTAATTCTTGTCTATTTTCCTTCCCAATGCTAGTAAATAATATTTAACTAAAAATAATGGAGATTGTTAGGAGTTATGGATGAAAATAGGCAAAGGTTTAAGGGTGTTGTTTTGGTGAAAAATGTAAGGTTATAGCCTTACCAAAATTATCGATTTTTCAACAAATTTTTGTTGTTCTAATTCCTATTTATTTTCTTTCCCAATGTTAGTAAATGATATTGAACGAATAATAATGCAGTTTCTGAGGAGATATGGACGAAAAAGGGCGAAAATTGAGGGGTATTCTTTTGATGAAAAAGTGTAAGGTTATAGCCTTACCAAAATGATCAATTTTTGAACAAATTTCTGTTGTCCTAATTCTTCTCTATTTTCCTCCCCAATGCTAGTAAATAGTATTTAACTAAGAATAATGGAGATTGTTAGGAGTTATGGACGCAAATAGGCAGAGTTTGAAGGTGTACCTTTGATGAAAAATGTAAGGTATAGCCTTACCTAAATGATCGATTTTTGAACAAATTTTGGTTGTCCTTATTCTTCTCTATTTTCCTTCCCAATGCTAGTAAATAATATTTAACTAAAAAAATGGTGTTTCTGAGGAGATATGGACGAAAAAGGGCAAAAATTTAGGGGTATTGATTGATGAAAAAGTGTAAGGTTATAGCCTTACCCAAATGATCAATTTTTGAACAAATTTCTGTTGTCCTAATTCTTCTCTATTTTCCTTCCCAATGCTAGTAAATAGTATTCAACTAAAAATAATGGAGTTTCTAAGGAGTTATGGACGGAAATAGGCGAAAATTTAGGGATATTGTTTTGATGAAAAAGTGTAAGGTTAAAGCCTTACCAAAATGATCAATTTTTGAACAAATTTCTGTTGTCCTAATTCTTCTCTATTTTCCTTCCCAATGCTGGTAAATAGTATTTAACTAAAAATAATGGAGATTGTTAGGAGTTATAGACGAAAATAGGCAAAGGTTTAAGGGTGTTGTTTTGGTGAAAAATGTAAGGTTGTCGCCTTACCAAAATTATCGATTTTTGAAAAAAATTTTGTTGTCCTAATTCTTGTCTATTTTCCTTCCCAATGCTAGTAAATAATATTTAACTAAAAATAATGGAGATTGTTAGGAGTTATGGATGAAAATAGGCAAAGGTTTAAGGGTGTTGTTTTGGTGAAAAATGAAAGGTTATAGCCTTACCAAAATTATCGATTTTTCAACAAATTTTTGTTGTTCTAATTCCTATTTATTTTCTTTCCCAATGTTAGTAAATAATATTGAACGAATAATAATGCAGTTTCTGAGGAGATATGGACGAAAAAGGGCGAAAATTGAGGGGTATTCTTTTGATGAAAAAGTGTAAGGTTATAGCCTTACCAAAATGATCAATTTTTGAACAAATTTCTGTTGTCCTAATTCTTCTCTATTTTCCTCCCCAATGCTAGTAAATAGTATTTAACTAAAAATAATGGAGTTTCTAAGGAGTTATGGACGGAAATAGGCGAAAATTTAGGGATATTGTTTTGATGAAAAAGTGTAAGGTTAAAGCCTTACCAAAATGATCAATTTTTGAACAAATTTCTGTTCTCCTAATTCTTCTCTTTTTTCCTTCCCAATGCTAGTAAATAGTATTTAACTAAAAATAATGGAGTTTCTAAGGAGTTATGGACGGAAATAGGCGAAAATTTAGGGATATTGTTTTGATGAAAAAGTGTAAGGTTACAGCCTTACCAAAATTATCGATTTTTCAACAAATTTTTGTTGCCCTAATTCTTGTCTATTTTCCTTCCCAATGCTAGTAAATAATATTTAACTAAAAATAATGGAGATTGTTAGGAGTTATGGACGCAAATAGGCAGAGTTTGAAGGTGTACTTTTGATGAAAAATGTAAGGTATAGCCTTACCTAAATGATCGATTTTTGAACAAATTTTGGTTGTCCTAATTCTTCTCTATTTTCCTTCCCAATGCTAGTAAATAATATTTAACTAAAAATAATGGTGTTTCTGAGGAGATATGGACGAAAAAGGGCGAAAATTTAGGGGTATTCTTTTGATGAAAAAGTGTAAGGTTATAGCCTTACCAAAATGATCAATTTTTGAACAAATTTCTGTTGTCCTAATTCTTCTCTATTTTCCTCCCCAATGCTAGTAAATAGTATTTAACTAAAAATAATGGAGTTTCTAAGGAGTTATGGACGGAAATAGGCGAAAATTTAGGGATATTGTTTTGATGAAAAAGTGTAAGGTTATAGCCTTACCAAAATGATCGATTTTTGAACAAAATTTTGTTGTCCTAATTCTTGTCTATATCCCTTCTAAATATTAGTAAATAATATTCGACTAAAAACAATGGAGTTTCTAAGGAGTTATGAGCAAAAAAAGGCAAAAGTTTAAGGATGTTGTTTTGATAAAAACTGTAAGGTTAAAGCCTTACCAAAATGATCGATTTTTGAACTAGTTTTTCTTGTCCTAATTCCGGACTATTTTGCTTCCCAATGTAAAAAACTGATATTTAACTAAAAATAATAGAGTTTCTGAGGAGATATGGACGAAAAAAGGCGAAAATTTAGGGGTATTGTTTTGATGAAAAAGTGTAAGGTTACAGCCTTACCAAAACGATCGATTTTTGAAAAATTTTTGTTGTCCCAATTCCTGTCTATTTTGCTTCCTAATGTTAGTTAATGATATTGAACTAAAAATAAAGGAGTTTCTAAGGAGTTAAAGACGAAAATAGGCAAAAGTTGAAGGGTGTTGTTTTGATAAAAACTGTAAGGTTATAGCCTTACCCAAATGTTGTTTTCGTTTCAAAGATGGCTTCCATGGTTGTTTTCAAATGAATCACACACACGCTAAGGTGGCTGCATTCAAATGAGCATGGCTTGTAGTTAAGTATACTGATACAGTTCATACTAACACAACCCATTTTGCTCACAGGTAAATCCTTTTATAACAAATATACCGAATTTAACCAGCATAAGTAACAAACTAAATTTCTAACCTTCGCGAAGAGCAGGAACTTTACTTTGTAGAGAGCAGAAAGGAGTTTGTCCACGAAACGTCACTGTAGATGCTTTCCGTATCTTGTCTATAGTGAAAAATTCGTGCTAAGATCTCGAGTCAAATATTTATTAAACAACAAATGAATTCAGATATCTTAGTTTAATAAGAAAATGATGACATCATTCACAACAAGGGTTGATTATATGGATTGTTAAAGGACTGGCGCATCCAGATCTGACATTCGAAAAGCAGAAAAATTTAGATAATGTCCATAAAATGACTTCCTTTTCCTTGGCCTTTAATTTGGCATTTGTTTTGGAAATTTTCAAAATCTGAACAAAATTACAATGAGGGTAAGGTCGTTTTGCAGGCCCCTTGCTTACCTATTCAGGAAAAAACTATATTTATAAAATGAAATGATTCAATCGTATTTGGCCAGGCTGATTCCTCCCACTCTTTTGTTATTAACTTAAGCATGCAATAATGATGTGAATTGTGAAAACTAATATGGTTAAGTATGCATCGCCTAGATTCTCGCTTTGGTCAATCGGTACCCACCAAACACTTAAACCGAAGTGTCCATGCCTGAGAAACCCACTGAGCCAATTACAGTGTTATTCTTAACCTCATGTGACATTCAATCCACACCTGAATTATACCTACTCCATGAATCTCAAAATTTCCTAATGAATTTGTCGACGCTCATTCTGAAAAGTTGTTCTGTTATCAAATGTATAAAAATGACTCTCAGATCAGTTTTTTCAAGCTTGCTACCAAGCAAATCACGCGTGCTTTCAACGCATGTTCTACGATATCAATTTTTAGTAAATCTTAGCCTATGATATATCAAAATTATTATATTTATTAAAAATCATAGTAACTGGGAATCTTTTGTAAGATATAGCCTAAAAATGAAAGTTATAAACAAGAAACTAGATGCATGCTTCATTAACTCCTGCACAAAAGGACAAAGAATCGATACACTCTTTATTTGATAAGAACCAGATAATTTTGCCGAGCCTCTATGTTCTTAACTTTTCGATAATTAAAGGCTCAAATGTTCTTAAAATTGTTCTTATTTCAAGAATTATTTTTTGCAAATATTTGAGAAGTTACATACTCTATATAGTTTCTAAGACATTTTACTGGGTAAAGTTTAAAAAAACATTGTTTTTATGTTTATAAATTGTATAGTTTTGTTCTGTTGACATGAGATAAATTTCCAAATATGAATTGTTTTTTTTTAATTTCTCATCTGAAGCTATGCGTGCTCTAGCCTTGTTCTTATTTTTTGGGGAAATCGAGCCTCAGTGTTCTTATTACGTGTGTTCTTAGAAAAAAAAGTGTGCATAGAAATGCTTAGAAGAACGACAACTGCTCAGCGTTATATATCCTATAATGGTGTTAAACTGAGGAATAATGATGATCCAAAAGAAATAAAGGGGGAAACTTCCCTTCCTTCTTTTTAAAGATCTCTGATTCAAGATAAAGAGTTACTGATTTCCAATTTAATCTAGATATTGATCCCTGCTACGAACGAGACAACAAAATCCTTTTTACAAACCTTAACAGAAAAAAAATTGTTTTAGCTGCAAGTTAAAGCCATCCTGCCTTTGTCGGTGCCACTCTTGAAAACAAAGGATACTAAGCTAGACAGTCTCTAGTAGATTATTTACCTTAGTGTCCCAAACACATATTATATTTTTATCTGATTGTAATGAGTTATAATTTAGAAAGTATGTAATTAATTTTGTTGTTTAACTTTGTAACTGTTTGTGTTGAAATGAAATGATATCTATCAAAAAACACAGCAAATTTATTCTGGTATCAAAAAAACAAACACTTTTTTGGGGTACAGTTTAAGTAGGCGTGAAAAAGCCACCAGGATCAAATTTTGAGATCCTATCCTGTGCTACTTGCTAACATCTAATTATCACAAAAGGTTAATTCATCTGTTTAACTCTATTCATTTCAACAGCATTCGCGTTGCTTTTGTAAATCTACTGATAAATGGAGGGCTTAAAAAGCTCATAAATATTCATGCGCGGAATAATGGGATAAAGTGCTTGTCATATAGCTAGCTCAGTAGAAATATAGCTAGCTCCAAGGTCATATTCAAATGACCTTTAATAGTAATACCTGTTTACCCTGAATAACTATTCTCTAAACGAAATGACAACTCTTGCAATGGTTTTTGCTCCTTGGATACTGCAGGTGACTAACAATTTTCAGTTTATCTACCTTATTAGACTTCAATTTCCCTCCTCTTCGAGATATGTTAATTAGATAGGAAAGGTATGCAGTAACTGGTTAAAATCCTTGCATGTAAAAATCTTTGAAAATATACAGAAAGATGCGATAACCCTAACCATTTCAATACCAAAATCAACACCCTATCAAGGCGTACTATATGAATATGGACTTATGACACTGTGTTTCTGCTATAGTAACTGCTCCGAAACGGAGATTTGGCGAGATATATTATTATTATTATTATATCCTTAAAATCAGTGGCGTCGCCAGCTCAAAATACTAGGGTGGATGAAAATCAATTTTCTCGGCCACGCCCTTTAGGCTCTTGGAAAGGTCTTTTTCGGTATTTTTTATCTATTTCGTAAAATAGTACAGTAATTTATCTTTTTTATTATCTTTGAACAAACAACTTTCTCAAGCAGCTTTTTTTGCAAGTTCGAAAGTCAAAATCGATCTGATCAGCCAGCCTACTAAACCCCCATACCCCCAAAGGTTTTCAAGGGATTTCGAGAAATTAGAAAATCGACTTCTGAAAAAACTGGGGTGGACATGTCCGGCGGCCGCTCCCACCCCCAATGCTCAGAAAGTTTGTGTCTGAGAAAAGTGCAAATTTGCACTAAAATCAGTACCTCAGGGAGGGGGAGGTTATAATTCAAACAAAATTAAAACGTTTTAAACGACTGCAAGTTATACTGTAAGAAATATTCTGAAAGTCATTTCTAGCTAATCTAAGGGGCGAGGTCGCAAATGAATTTCTGCTCGCTTTGCTCGCAGGGGACCCTGCTCTGTACCTCTACAGAATGTTTTATAATTTCCCTTCGTTTCTGGTAAAGTCCTTCACGTTTTTTAGACATTTCCGATAAAATAGAAAATAAAATGCTTAACCGCTTTAAAACTTAAAAATTTATATTAGCATGCTTGTCGGGGATTTTGCAGATTTTGCTCCAAGGAGAACGGACTAAGTTTGAAACTTTTGAATACTGTTTAACATTTTTAGCTATTTGCTTACAACTTTGGAGAATTAGTTTTTACACGTAGAGCTTTCTCGCCTCCCACAATTCAGAATATAATCATTAGAGGAATTGTGAAGGAAATAGACAGTTGTAGAATTCGATCAGCCACAAAAGTTACAAAAGACAGTTATTGTGTTTAATTAGCCAACAATTGCCACGTAAAAAAACATAGCTTTTCCAAACGAATTTACAAAATGGGGCGTTTTTAGCGTTTTCCCTTTAAACTTTCATAGCAAGGATAGCACTTTGCGCAAAACTGCCTCTCACTACAACCCCTACAAAAATACATACCAAACCCTCCTTCATTAAACTCAAACTACGTCACTCTTTGAAGTCACCTATGTAATTAGTCACAATCATACTAGTAGACAATTTTACTACAGGACAGCTGAAACATCGCTAATGATGGCTAAAGTGGGATCGCGTACTCTACTTTACACGCAGAAGGGTCGTCCTGGCTTCACCAAAGAATCGATAAAAAGGAAAGAAACCTTGCTCAAATTAGGCAGTAATTTTATTTCATAGCTTTTTTAAATTTGCTACAAAACATCAAGTAATAAATCAAGTAAAACAGGTCAGATGTAGACCCTCCACAGCGTTCTAGACAAAAGCCAACCATTGGTTAAAGCTATTCAGGCATCCACTTAGGTGATTGGCTGGTACCTATAAACAAAATCCATGACATCAATTTATAAACTGAATTATTAACGAAAGCTAGAAACCATTGTTAAAAGACCCAAACTGTGACATCGACAATACATTATTTGCAAGCAAACAAATCAGTAAAGAATTGATGTGCTCACAAATCCACCATGATATTCTCTCTGATCTTCTCTGCATCCGCGCTTCTTTGCTTGAACCTTGCATGTAGCCAGATATTTCGCTCTGCTTGTAGACGAGATGCTCTGATGAAGGTGACCGACCGGGAGAGTAAACTTGTTAGGAATTCCTTCGACATCATTGAAAGTTCCCCTGCGAACACACTGCCAAAGTGCGTTGTTAAGTGCATGCGAAACTCAAACTGCAAGTCGATCAACTTCAAGAAGGTGTTCTTGACCAATGAGAATAACTGCGAAGTATTAGGGATCACCAAAAGCAGCACATCTTCGTCGATTGCTTCTACCTCCGGCTGGATACACTACGAGCCAGTGGTACAGGTAAGGACAATATCAAAATTTGACCAAGTCTATTCATATTCTTGACTAGTGCCTAAAGCACATTCTTTCACAATCTAAACTATGTGTGGTTTATCATGCGCTGGTTGAAAGTCACCTCCGATACGGGAATGTTGTCTGGGGTAGCCTGCCAAACACAAGGCTACAAACGCTTCAGCCTCTACAGGATAGGGCATTCTCAATTATTGAAAATGCCAAAAGAAAGGACCCCTGGAACAGTGATTGGCTAAGCGTTGATCACATCATCTCTATTGATAGATCTATCATTACACCATAGCAACTTGTCCGCTTTCAGGTGGTACCTATCTCAAAATTATTCAATACAAAATAACGTTTTGCAATGACGGCAACCAGAGGCTGCTAGGGAATGGCAAGCTATGAACCTTAAAACTAAACTTCATAAAAAAAGCTGATAGATTTAAAAATCATCCACCATGCCCCTTGTCAAGACTCCAGTGAAGCAACCGTCCGCTTCGTATAAACACAGCATTTCCTCTAATGAACGCCACCATAACTATGACGCCACCCACTGATAAACGCAGCCCTCTATTAAACGCCGCATCCAACATTTTTTTTAAATTTCCGCGGCGTCCATCAAAAGAAAAACGGTAGGTCAATGATTTTAGCAATCTAGCACGAGCCAGACTTCTTTTGTTAATAGGAAAGATCGCCATATCAGATGATGTTGCAGCTGGCAAGATTTTTTAAGTCAATAGAGAGAAACGGCTTGGCATGGCACCACAGTCTTGTCAGTACTTCACTCTTGTCGTTTCGTTCTTTTTATTGTTCATCAGCAAAGTTAATCAAAATCGAGAATCACAATCTGTTTTTGCCCAAAATCAGAATCCGAGTATGCTCGTCTGGAACGATCGTGTCTTGCATTCTCCGGTCGTCAGTGACTATAAGGGCCTGTTAAAATTCAACTTGTTCTTTAGCATAGGCTCCAAAACAAATTGGCAAGTGTGGGAGGGGGTAGGAAGATGGCAAATTAAAGATTTAATGCAAGAAACTTTGCAAAATACTCTTCTTTTGCAAACGTAGAGGGCATAACCACCCTGCCCTTTCCCAGGCGTTAGGGGCCCTTTCCCAGGCGTTAGGGGCCCTTTCCCAGGCGTTAGGGGCCCTTTCCCAGGCGTCAGGGGCCCTTTTCCAGGCGTCAGGGGCCTGACTCTTTGGACTGACGTAGACTCAAAATAAAATCAGTGCCGCGGCTTTTTCCTTGCACAAATCCACGCAAAATTGAATCCAATCTTAAACAAAAAACAAAACAAAGGGTACAGTCATATTGGTTCCATCACATAAACCGCACTCTTTATATGAGAGTTGAACTTTGTTTCGCTTGTGTGGAGGATAGTGGTGGAGTGACCAGGCATTTACCCTGTTAAAGTCACTTTTCGCCTTTTAAAGTGCGAGTACACTTCAACAAGGCCTCTATATGGGTATGATATACGTATATATAATTTCAATCAATTTGTGATATTATGACATTATATATGATTCAGCTTCGGGTTCAGTCCATACATCAAAAATTCTACAACATGCAATATAAAAACCCATGTATTGGAGAATCAATACAAAAACCTGCATAAGCACTTCTTATTGAAATAATTAAACAGACATTCGGGCGGGTGGTGATTCTCATCTTCTGCCGCTTAACATTGATTATAAGTTTTTGAAATAAGAACTGTTCTCAGGGCCGTCGCTAAACACTTTCACTTGGGGGGGAGGGGTACCTGTCACCAGTTTGCCGACAAAATAGGGCGTGGCCTAAACATATCAATTTTTGGGTGTGGCATTTTGACGCAGTTGTTCTTATTTAATAAAAAGGGTATATTCTCGTCAATCAATCATCGCTTCGATTTTCGCGTTGTAATTTTCTTTGCCTGAGTACCATCTTTGGTTTCACTCTAGAACTAGAAGTCAAGTTCTCAGCAATGAGATACCTTCATTTCTTCAGATTTTTCAGCTCGCTTAAAAAGAACCTTAGTTTCTATGAGCAGATCTCACAGGCAGGGCCGCCGAGAGGCTTCGGAGGCGTTGGGGCAAAACCGAAAGATGTGACCTCCTGCGAGTGGAGCGAGCAGAAACATTTTGCAACCATGCCCTTTAGATTATCTTAAAATGCATTTCAGAATATTTCTTGCAATCGTTTAGAATGTTTTACCATTTTTATTCATACTTTTGCTACATTTCCTTTATGAGGCCCCCCTATACCTTGCCCCCCTTGCCCCTCCTCTCGGTGGCCCTGCCCACAGGGGTCTCTAGTACCTCCAGGATCAGCGTTCAGAGTTTTTATATAAACTCTGACCTTTCCTCAAACTTTTATAGGTGGAAATTATGTGGTCCTGGATATGCCGACAGTTTTCTAGGTTATAGATGCAGGCTGCCGACAGAGCATCATTTGAAATTTTTGGGGGACATTTTGGGGGAGATTTGCCGACGGTATACCAGATTTTCCGACGGTATACCAAAGTTGCCGAAGGTAGACCAGATTTTCCGACGGTATACCAGATTTGCCGACGGTATACCAGAGTTGCCGAAGGTAGACCAGATTTGCCGACAATATTTTTCCGTGACGCCCTCCACGCCCCTCCCCCATCCCGACGGGCCTGACTTTACTAGCTTGAAGTTTATAGCGAGAGAAATATTAGCTTGAAGTCTTTTTGGCAAATTTCAAGCAACCCGACAAAAAGAAGGCAAATTGTCCTGCTTTTTCTCAAATTATCCTCCATTGTCAATGTCAAGATCATATAAAAACTTCATTACACAGCAAGCAGAGCATATTCATAATCACAATTCATAAAATAGGTCTTGTTCCACCCATGGCGCTATCAGATACCTACATTGATATGTGTGGATCTCTGTAGGAAATGGCGTACGGAGCTATTGAAGAGAGCTATTGAAGAGAGCTATTGATCGTATGGGGGAGGTAACCCCTGAACAGGACTGGAGCAGGGACGTCGGAATTGGGAGTACACCATGTGCCCCTTTACTTTTGAAAATTTCCTAAAATAAGAAATAGAAAAAATATTTCTTTTTCTTTGACAAGGTGCCTATACTGACCTGTAACCCTCCAAATTTGAAATGCTTCCGATGTCTCTGGTCTGGACTCCTCAATTCCCCCCTCCCCCTTGTAATATTATTGAATTGTGCTATCATAGGTAACTGCTCTTGTTAAAAAGAACAAAACGGAAACGGTGCGCGAAAGCAAGCAATCTTCTTTTTTGATAACAAAGATAGAAACGATAAATCTCTGACAGTCAACAAACAATTTCCAACGACTTCAGAACACTAACGACCACGACTTCAGAACTTATCTACTCTAACTGAAGGACTCTTGCGCAACCGGCATGTTTTGTCACTATATTTTCAAAACCAGCCTAAAATCGTACTTCCTGAAAATACAAAACACAGTCAATCTCTCAAGACAGTTGCCGCTAAGCATGCCGGTTGCACAAGAGCCTTGAAGCATAACTACACAATAGGAAGCAGGTAGGTACAATAATCATACCCTCTATCATTTTTGGTGTTTTACAAGGTTGCGTGTTAGGACTGCTCACATTTAGTTTACATCTACAAATCTTAAATTCCGATTATTTGACTCTTATATGTCAACTGGGAGAAAATACTGTAAATTTGAGCCAAGCAAAGCAACAGACAAGGGTCAAAAAAGTACGTCAAAAAGCTACATAATCACATAAAAAGTCAAATTTTTCCTTTCTGCTACAAAAGTTTGTTTACTTTTGAAAATTGTAGAATTAGGATCATATTTTCAAAAAGCCTTGCTTTTTCTACTCTCTAAGCACCGAGATCAAAGTAATGAAAATTATTGTTGCCAATCTGTAATAATAAAGTGATCTAGGCCTTTTCGACAGAGCTGTTCGCGCTTTGGTCTATTTAACAGGGCAGTTCACGTCCATATTGCAAATCATAGTTTCTCATTCCATGCGGAGATCTCGCAACAGTTAAGGTAGGTATGAAATCAAATCTTAGAACTTAACTAGCACATCGCAAAGAGATATATTATATGCATGCCATTTTAGGTAGGTCCTCGCTGCAGAAATGTTCAATGCAACCCTGGCTACGAATGCAAGGAACATTGCGATAGTAACAGTGGCTATTCATGTATAGGTATGTAAACTTCTGTCTTTCTACAATATCATGACTGAATAGTGAGATATCACTGCCAAAATATATTCAAACAATGCATATACAGAGGAGTCCGTCCCAAAGAATCATTTTTCACACAGAATTATAATCTGTAATGCCACGGACGCCGGAGAGAGGGCATGGGGGTAAATAGCCCCTCTTACCCTTTGACAGGAGAGGCAAGGGGAGTCAGAGAAGGATTTTCATAAAAGTGCCCTTGACTTCGGCCTTTTGCAATTATCAAAGAGATTCATAAGAAATCCTGACTAAAGTGCCTTTTTAATGATTAAATTTCTCAAAACTTGTAAAAATGTTCAAGATGCCTACAAAAAGTCGAGATAAAATGACAGTTACAAAAGAATTAGTAAGAGCTTGGGATTTTATTTCAGATGCCCTGAAAGCTTTCAGAAGCTGGGTATAAGTGTAGTGCCTATAATCTCAAACCATGCAGGAAAAATCTTTATAGATTAGGAAAATTTTGACACATTCAATTTCAATGTCACTGCCAATCCACCGCTTGACACAGCTACTTTGAATTACCATACACTGAATTGTCTTGCTCTCGAATCTTGAAATGCCACAATCTCTTAGCCCTTCCTGTCCCTACAAACTTGCAAACAAGATCTATTCTTCTACAAGCAGGTCAGGGTTTTGGCAGCTAATAGCTGTTACAGACATGCAGCTTGTGCCCCTATATTGAAATTCTAGAAGGAATACCCATGAAACTAATTTCCCACCCCTGAAAAAAACTGCTGTGTTGAAAACCTGTCAGTTTTGCTATCAGACTCCGGGTTTTGCTTGCTTTTTCATGGTCTCCTAGGATAATGTTCTACAAGTATGTTGTTTATACAATTCCTGACTAATTCCTGAGACTACCTTGATTTTGGGGTGAGGCTCAGATGGAAGGAGGCTCAGCAGGGAGGAGGCAAAACTCAAATCCAGTCGCACAACTGTGAATTTAGGATGTCTCCGAATGCAAGCAGGCGCGGATCCAGCCTGGATTCTGACCTATGCAAAGGTTGTCAGAGAAGCACGCCCTTTTGTGTTGAAAACGCCCAAATATTTCTGGATAAAATAACTATCACTGATATTGAATAGGGGGTTCCAAAAAGGATTTCTAGGGAAACGGCTCGCGAAGAGAAGACTAAATTTACCTGCAATTCGAAGGACAAAAGTTTTTGAATAGTCCGATCCTTGTTGGAAATTAACCAGTTCCCCTCACATTTCGAACGCAGTGGTCATACCACTACACTACTGGACAGACACTGCAAAAGTGACTGACTTAGCTAGAAGTTCCTTAGCAGGGCTGAAGCGGTGATAGTAAATTTTCATTTCATTGGTTGTAACAAACAATTGCATAGGTCCACTGTAAACAATTGCATAGGTCAACTCTGATTCCTATTGGTTGGCTGTACCGCTGCAGAGGCAAGCTCAACTTCTGATTTGCCTCACACTCTGATTGGCTTACAAGACGTTTGCATAGGTCAAACAAGCGGTGATTGGCCCTCGAGGGACAAACAAGTTTCTGGATTCAGAAAACACGGACCAGATAAATGCCTAGAATCGCCTCTCGATTATTCTGTGCAGAGGCCGAAAGATAGTCAGCAAAATATATGCCCTTTCGTCTGCATGTTGTTTGTATCAACGGGGGCAGATCTAGGACGGACGCCGCTAAAGAATTTGCCAAAGAAACTATTGATTAATAAATTTTGATAGTTTTAATTTTATTTTGTTGTTGTAAAAACCTGACTTATGCTTCTGCATAGGTCGCTGTAGCCTGGATCCACCTCTGACTCTTATCCAGAATAAACTTATTCACAATATAAAATTTATGGAGGGGCCCTTGGGAATGTATCAAGTATTATGTGGAATAATGTTCACATTACTCAGTTTTCTAATAAAAACGGAGTCAAACTAATCCGTTTTTGTGATGCGTTCACACTACTCTGCTGGGAAAACGGAGTCGTTTGAAAAAGCTAATGAAAACGGATACTTTCGAATACGGAGCGTATTGAATACGTTTCGTTTTCAGTGTGAACACCAAAAACGGAGACATTTAAATATGCTAACAACGGCAACAAAATACGTGCTTTCTAGCACAACAAATCTCAAAAATTTTGAAATTGCGAATTCATAATGGACTCGTAGCAGTTACAATAAAGTTGTTCACGATTTGCTTTTATTTAATTTCATTCATAATGACGCCAATTTGTTGAGGATTCGTGAACGCCTCTTTTCAAAAATGAGGCCACCAATAGCGTTTTTGTTGGAATAATGTGAACACTTACCGTATTCACATCGAATTCATTTGAAAACAGATAAATATGAACGGACAGCGTTTTCATCAACAAAAACGGAGCGAAACGAATACAGAGCAGTGTGAACGTAGCCTTACATACACTCATTTTTTATAAGAAACAATGGTTGATGTTGGGTACTCCGGTTTCTTAATGTTCTGGAAATTTCACTTCTCATTGTTTCTCAAGAGTTTTTTAATTTTGATGCCACGAATGATGTTATGAAATGTTCATGACCTTTGTAATAACGTCAAGAGATTCGCTTCCGTTCTGATGCTGTATTTATATTAAGTTCTAAGCCAACAGGGTAATCATGTTCTTGGATTTTGTAAAATGTCGTTGTTCTCAGTTTTATCACAATTTAATAGTTTCTTAATTTATCTGCTTCGAGTACTGAAGTTTCTTATTTTTTCTGACTGTCCAGTACTCGTTTCTTATAGCCAGCTTTTTAGAAAAAAATGAGTGTAGTACCTAGAAATCAGGGACGTAGTGGTGGGGGGGCCTCAGGGGGCGCGGCACCCCTTGCTAAAATTTTCGAAAAAAATGGGGGCTCAGTCCCCCCCCTCGTTGTATGTGGTTGGACATAACCAAGAATCATGTAACGCAAAGAAAGCTGTGAAGAATTGTTACTTCACCACGGGTCAGCTATTGACGATTAAACCAGAAAAAGAAAATATTACAACTGACAGATTTAAACGCATTGCAAACTTCATATGCATAAAAATATACACAAAGTTTGACATATATAGATAGAAAATTCCTCCTTTGTTAACGCAAGAGAAAATTTGTCATTTCAAAATTCAATCAATGGGTCATTAACTTTAAAATTTAAGTTTCTTTCTTATAGATGCTATAAATATTTTATATGCATTTTCTGGCCATTCTTTGAACGTCATAGTTCAAAATTTCTCTGTTCTGTTTATGGTATCAATGTTCTAATCTCAGCTGCCCGCTGAAACAATCAATGTACCTGCCTGGCTGCTCGACCAATGATCTGAGAAAACATCAACCCTCGCCATGCTCAAATTGCAATTACTACATGGAAAGAAAAATTTAGAAATTTCATAGAGCCCCCCTTGTTAAAATTATATGACTACACTCCTGCTAGAAATGTATGCAAATATTTTGTTGGTTCATTAAGTGTCTTTGCCCTCCCCCCTCCCCACTTTTGGCTATAAGCTACTCATGATTTCTGGTGCACAGAAGGCATTGATTACAAAAAACTTATGTATCAAAAAGAAACTCTATCCTCAAACCTGTTCTTAGCTACCAACCTCAATATAGAATAACCATGGCAAAGAAAGACAAAGAACAAATATTTTGTAGGAAAATTTCTTCAAAGTCTAATCATTATTAGATTATTTCCCAAATAGTACACTCCCTACTAATTTGTTCCTTGCTTATGGCATGCTCAAAATTGGCATTGTGCTACAGAAAAAAGGCCAAAAAGTTTCAGATTAAAATTTTGTTGCAGCAAGAAATAACAGCAGAATTACAATACAACAGCCACCAAAGAGCCTAATTGCGCCTAATAAAAGGCCTAACTGAATGCCTCAATTAAGAAAAGAACAAGAAAACAATTTTACTTTTGATATGTTGACGTGACGAGTGTAATTGCCAACTTTTCCATTATCCTTAATACATCAAACAGAGTGGGTTTCAATAATGCTTTCTTTGATCCTATAGCTTGTTCTACTCTTTCAATCTGGGTATAAGCTTCAATCTCCTAAAAGGCAATTCACATGCTGCCCACCCAGAGGTGTAGGAGACATAGGGGCTAGGTGGGCTGCGGCCCTTAATCAGGAAACCTTTATCCCATTTCAGAACCAATCCAGGCAGTTCTATCTCAATGAATCCTTAATATTCTACCAAGCCCCCCTAAATGTTTTGCACCTCCAACATCTCTAACATCATAGCTTGTTTTCACTGATTAAAATACAATGTCCCAGGTTTGTAAGCTGGCACATTTTTTTGAAGACAAGTCAAATTACGTGAAGATTTTCCTAGCTTGTTTTAATCATAATACTTCAAGTCATGATACGTCTAAATGGCATGCAGAATGCCAAAAACATGTCTTCTTCTTTGTTTATTTGACATTATGGTGAAAATAATTTGCATTTGTACAAAGTACACAACAACGAGACATAGCAAACTTCAAAAGGGCTTTTTCAGTTGAAAAATCTCAAGGCTATCAATAAACATTTACTTCATAGAGATGTAGTGGCACTTTGTCCCTCTTAGAAACTAAAGCTGAAGCAAGGTAAGGCTTTTTAATTAGCATATAATTTCAACCACCTATTTTGCAGCACTTAAATTTTCCTATCACGCTGCTGCTGTAAATTTGATGTATTGCACATGACATTGATATATTTTGTGGTAGGCTACTGGGTTAAAGAATTGTTGTAGTAATAGTGATTGATATTCATTAATCATTAAACATTATTTCCTTTTGCAGATATCGATGAATGCTTAAGCGGTCCTTGCCTCAACGGTGGAACATGTAACAATGAAGTAAACAAATATTCATGCACTTGTCCACCATTCTACATTACACCAATATGCCAATCCCGTAAGTCATTCAATTTCGCAACATTTTAGCTATACTATTAGACTTACAGCTTCCAATTTTTTGATCAAAATGAGTAACTGCACATGTTTTTTAGGGGCCATGCTTCTGCTGTCAGCACACTTTAGTTTCGCGCGCAAATTTGCCGCTGTAAGTTTTCCCCGCCTTTTATATACGATCTGAAAGAACCTGTACATACCTCTATTCGCACGATGGTGTTAAGTATAAGGTTTCGTTGATTCTTTGCATATAACTTGAAAATTGAGTGCGAATGTTTCTTGGCACAGAATAAGAAGCAGAAAATATTTCCTATCCTGCATTCGGCAAGGACTTCAGAACGAGGCTGTTCTACAAAAACGCGCCAAGGAGAAATGTCCAAGGTCCAGTGATGGACGCGATATTTTTTCAATACCCAAAACAGGGCCTGCCACCGGGAGATAAGGGGCCATGGCCTCCCCTCTTTTTCGCTAAATAAAATGATCAAATCAGCTCATCTCATTTATATAGAAAGGCCCCTAGACAGACCTGTCAACCTTAAATTTTCAAAACCTGAAGATTTTAGATTTTCCTAAAGAAAAATAGGGAGTTTCGGTCAAAAACAGGGAGATCACAGTAATTTATTAAGGGAATAAATATACCTGATCAAATGTTGTGCTCGGCAAACAGTTTATGACAAAAGTGATCAAGAGAAGTATCTTCATAATAACTTTTAGTGCTTTTTTGTTAATCAGTTAGCACTAACAAAAAACTGTTCTCGTGTGGAAGTCAATGTGGCCATTATATCTTAATTATACATCTGTAAACAGAAAATATACACAATAGACCTGTCTTTGAAGCATAAGATGCGCAGTTACATCGCACATTCGGTGAAGAATCTTCCTAGACATTCTGCTAGACATCTTTGAAACTGGGAGAAAAATTTTAAAAACCCAGAGATTCTGCTAGACATCTTTGAAACTAGGAGAAAAATTTTAAAAACCCAGAGACCAGATAAAAGCAGTCAAGGTTGACAGGTCTGCCTAGATTGCAACTACTTTCATTGATGCATGAGATCAAAACTGCCCCTAAATACATTTTGTCCCGGATTAAATGCCAATTTCCCAATCATGGAAAGAACTTCAAATATACTAAATAAAAATAAGATAGTTGTGGAAAAAAACATTTTCATACAATAAATAAATACACCCACCAATACTAATTTTGCAAATTTTGCTTTCTACAAATCATTGTATCTTCTTTTCAAGATTATTTAGGGTCCTATAGTTACACAACATCTTACGATGCAACGGATGGTGGCAAAATCGTATTTCTAGACAGGCACACTTTATCATGTGGCTCAAGTAAGGTGATGGTGGAATGGCAGATATACAGATCTGGAACAAACATACGTTACAATTACAAATGCCGAAAATTTCAAGGAGGCTTTTGCACGGTGAGCAGGAAGACAGGCACATGGCAGGAGCATGGAAATGGCGATATACATTATATTGATAGGCAAACAATCGAATGCGGCACTAAAGGCTACGTAACATATTTCAGATTGGAAACAATTGATCCAAACGCAAGGTACATTTATGACTGCTGCCACGTTAGCACACCAAGTTGGGAAAGTGCTGTTACATGCACTAGTCACGCGACCCCCTGGGTGGCCGACGGGGCAGTTGTTGACTTTGACCGATTTGGAAGTGTAAGTTGTCCATCTGGATACGGACTGTCCTACTTTCGATTCTTTTATAGAAATAATCATGCCGAAGTACGTGTAGAATTCCGTTGTTGTAAATTCTATGTACCCTAATTTGGGACGGAAGGGTATGTCCATTCTCTATGGATCAAGGACTACGAAGTAAATGGCTTTGAAAAAAGCAAACATTTAGTAAACTAAAGCTTTTCGTCTGACACTCTTCAGAGTTTAAAACGTCAGAACATAGATCGAAAACTCTACGCTAAGAAATATATATACCCAGTTGTGGATCGAAATAGGCCAATCAGAAACACGAGCACATGACTGTAAAGGTTGACCAATCAGTGCCGCTTGCCTATTAGAATGTTACCAGTGGAGTCCTAAGGTGAAAACGAACACCTTTTGTCTACACAGTAGCGGCTTTTTCGTGCTTATGTAGATAGATTCCAAAACTGCTAGGTGGAACGACGATCTTGCTAGAAAACCCAGATTGTGCAAAAAACTATAATGGCGACATGTTTCGGATTGTTGGTAGAGCCCGATCGTCGTTCCACCTAGCAGTTTTGGAATCTATCTACATAAGCACGAAAAAGCCGCTACTGTGTAGACAAAAGGTGTTCGTTTTCACCTTAGGACTCCACTGGTAACATTCTAATAGGCAAGCGGCACTGATTGGTCAACCTTTACAGTCATGTGCTCGTGTTTCTGATTGGCCTATTTCGATCCACAACTGGGTATATATATTTCTTAGCGTAGAGTTTTCGATCTATGTTCTGACTTTTTAAACTCTGAAGAGTGTCAGACGAAAAGCTTTAGTTTACTAAATGTTTGCTTTATTCAAAGCCATTTACAAGTTCTGTACCACCAAAAGATTGGACTACGAAGTGTTTTCAAGTATATCTTCTAACGCTACTTCAAAACACCTATTCAACTTGCGGCCTCATTTTGGAAATTTCTCCAAACTTCCTTGTACGACTTTTATCATCATAATTTCAGGCTGGAACTGGATACAATTTTTTATATTGTTTGAGTCTGTCTTTTAGATTTCACAGAGTAATAAAGTTTGAAAACTTGTAAGGGATTTGCCCGCAAAAATGATTCCGGGTGAAACTCAACCACCCCCACCTCCCTCCCCCCTTGTCACTAACCACGGTAAATTTTTATCTTTATGTCGTCACACAATCATTATCGTGAGAATTAAAATATTGAAAACTTCCAAGTAGACCAAAATTTTTGCTCTTATTCCGAACCTGAGGTCAAACCTTTTTTCAAAAGAATTTGAAGAATTTTTCAAAATGAGACCGTTAGTTGAATTGGTGTATTTGCTTTCCTGCCTGCATAAGTTACCTTATAAACGTGCGTTTTCGCATTAACTAGTGCAGCTTGGTGTGCAATGTCGAAACACTTTCATTTACGCACATCTTATCAAAATTTCAATATGACGTCCAGAAAAAGCAGTCACCTTCAGATTTGTAGAGATTGGACAAGTGTCTGTATGCCAAAAAAATGCTTATTATGGTGTATGGAAAGGCAGTGAAGTTGACGGGAATTGTTGGGGATGAGGGCAACTGCCGACTTCCCCCTCAATTCGACATGACCCGGAAAATTTACCTAGAAAATCAGATAGCATTGCATAGAATGTGAACAAGGCATTCAAAAAAGAAACCCTGAAAATTTATTGGTTCTGCCAAACCACCCAGAAAGCTATATTTACTTCACTTTTACAATTGGCCATACAGGGGTGCAAATTGTATGATATTTATGAAGGGGCATACCTGTCAAACTACCGTGATGTACTGCCGAATGATTTTGCTTATTAAATCATAATTGTGTGTATAAAACGGTAATTAAATCATGAGAAAACCGTATTTTAATCCTTCGATAGTTTTTGTTTAAAAAAATGCAAAAGGAAAACGTAATGTAAATAACAAAAATTGTTGACTCAGTATGAACACTTCATGATGGAAACCAGTTTATCAAGATTCACTGAAGAAACCATCAATAAAAATCTGAATCTACTTACATTTTCTTTAAAATAACAATGACGAATATCTTTCAGTGTATGATGCTGACATTTTGGCAGAAAAAACTGAATTAGCTAACCAATAAGGCAGCACTCTCTCGTGAATTTGAATATGGCGTGTTCGAAACATTTCATTTTGTTCATAGTTGATAGTTTAAGATTCATAGTTTACACTGTAAAACTTGAAAATCGCCGAGGTTACGCAGGACTTGGGCAAAATAAATAAGATTTTACAGGTATGGTTGGGGCCTTGAAAGTTGCACCGACTCACGTACAGAATGGACCGACATTTCAAAGCCAATCAAAGCAGATAAACAAAATGAATATGTACTTTTAAGGACATGCCCTTAGATCCCTGAGCTGTGGTGAAATGGGAAATTCGTTCTTCTTTGAGAAAGACTGAGATCATGGAGAAAGAGCATTCCAAACTTGGTTCTGGATGATTGGAATGATGTCCTGCTTGATATAAGCAGGTACGGATTTAAGCAACAATCACTGGGGGGTGTTAGACACTAATTTGGGCTTTGGTATCACACATTTCAGGTCACTGGAAAATGATGGAAACGCCCCCTTTTAAAAATAAGGTTTTTTACTTTAAAGTAAAGAAGATAAGAAGATAAATTAAGTCTTCTGATATCTGATATATTTCATATAATCATAAAGCACTATGTTCCTTTCCTTGAAATTCATATTTGATTTTATATTAAGTGCTAAAGAATATCATCATGTATAAATATACGGTAATAGTAATAATATAGTTACGTAGGTTTCTTTCCCATGCACTTTCTTGTTGCAGTTCCTCCTACATAATATTCTATTTCACGACACCTTTGAGTCGCACTTTTTACCTAATTCTGCAACTTCGGCCTTCTGATTTCTTAATTTATAACTTTGTACCACAAAGGACTTTTCAGTCCAGATATAAGGATTAGTGAAAAGAAAGACAAAGCATCAAATGCTAATAAAAACACTAACAATCTATTTAGACTGACATATCATATAGGCCTAGGAATCCTTGAACTCGTTCATCGTATCTAGAAAACCACCTTCAAGGTAAAATAACAAAGAAATTTTTTCTGGGGACCTCTTAAGTTTTGGCGCCCTTAGTTTTTTAACTAAAGGTAACCTCGGTCTGTTATACCCCTGCTTTTGCTATGCACTGACAGCTTGGCGATAGTGAGAAATAATTGTCTTCAGATATTTTAATGAATTAAAATTATCCGTTTGGAAAGGGTCTGGATTTGTGTTTTGAAGTTTGATCTCAAAACTGTTGTAAAGCATTATTTAATTTGTTGTTGTAAAGTTGTAAAAAATTAATTAATTGCATTATATTATTGTTATTAAGCAAGTCATAAAAGGTACTGTCTTGCTATTTTCCTTTCCAAATGTAATAATAATAAGTTTATATCGTATTTCTGTTTAACTGTTTCTTGGTTGTTGCTTTAGCTTTTGCTAATGGTTATAGGTAATTAACAAGATGGTTGATGACCAGATTAGGTTGTCTAAAGGTAGTTTGCATGATTATAATCAAGCCTTTACAGTTTGTCGTTTTTTTCTTCGAAACATGACTTATAGATGCATTCAATTATGCTTTACCAACCGGAGCGAGCATCAGTATATCTTTTGAACAAGAAATTTTGTAACTCAATGTCTATACAGTCAAACACATGTGCCAATCCAAGTGCAATAAGATATTAGATATCTGGCAAGTGAAACAATGGTAAAACTAGCCAATTTTTCAATTTCGTTCAAGCATTGTGCAAGTAATCATTGCAATCACCTAGCAAGCAACTTCACACTAGCTTGTTGCAGTATCGACTGGTTTTCCCAGAGGTGAAATTAGTTGAAAGGAAAATTTATGGTCTAGTGCACACAGACAACTACCTACTGATAGCACACTTTTAAAACCTTTGTTTACTCTGCTGCCCTGTTCCCCCAGTTATTAGAATCATTGTCCATCTCTTGGGACGGATTTAAGCAGCAAGCAGGGGCTGCGCCACAGGGTAGACTGGGGTGGGCATGTCCACTCCACTTTTTTTGGATCAACTTTCTAATTTTTCTAAAACTGGATTAAAAACATAAGTGTTCGTTTTCTTCTCTGAGATGGAAACTTTTCTCATTTTGATGGTCAGCTACGGTTCGTTTCAGATCTTAGCTGCCCACCCCAAAATTTTGGGGCTGGCGCTGTCCCTGGCAGCAAGTATGGGGAGGGTGAAAGGTAACACTTGGATTTTGGTGCCACACATTTCAGGACACTGGAAAATCATGGAAACACAAATTTCTAAAATTTGATTTTTAACTTCATGATACAGAAGACAAGTAAAGTAAGATCTTGGTGATATTTGATTACTACTTACTGTGTCCAAATGGGTAAGCTGAGCCCCCCCTCCCCCTCCCCAACATTCTAACCAAAACGGTCTCCAAACCAAAACGTTTGCAGATCGTACTGAGTAAGAGAATGTGCACATGTTGCCTCTAAACCCTCTCTCCCATGACTGTGTTAGTTTGTTCATGTTTGTGCATTACCTCTGTACGTAATTTTAAATATCAGTTATTCTATATGTTTTTTAAAAAAATTGGCCCCTTTCCCTAATGTCAAAATCCTAACTACCCCCATGACTGTATGGAAGCTAGGCCTTTCCTTGAGATCAAGGTAGGTGCCAAAAAACAACTTATATAAAACATGACTTTTCAGTACAACATGCAGAAAATTTCAGTACTTTACAAAATGTTAGCAATTCTTACATGGTCAAAGATATTTTATTAAATCTAATTGGTATTTTTTGTTCATACAAAACTGACTGTCATTGGGATCTTTGCACTTGTTTAGAGAAGTCAAATCAGAGTTAAAAAGGTTGGAATGGGAAGAACAGAGCAATGGTTCAGCAAAGGCAGATATGGCTAGATTTGTTAGGCAAAACTTTCAGGATTCTCTAAAATATTCATTAATAAAAAGAAACAGGTAACAATGAATAGATAGTATGCAGTTTAATGCTGTGAAGTTAATAACTTAAGAAACTACGGGTATTCACAGCAGAAATTTCCAGCAAAGTGCATAAATTATTTGGTATCAACTGTAGGATTTATGATGGAAAAACAGTGTGAAGTTTGTTTAAATTGTAGAAATGTTCTGAAAAAGTAAAAACACACCACTGAGGGAAGAAAAAAAACACTACCAATTACTGTCTGCCTTCTATAGAGAAGATTCTGACAGAGTGACAGAGTGGGAGGTCATTAATATGCTCACAAAAGTGATACCACTAGTAACTCTAGTAACTTGAAGTTCTCTAGTGTCAGGAATATTGCTGAAACATACAATTATGAAAGATAGACAGCCTTCTTGTCCAAGATTATGAATAATTTCTTGCTATGGAAATTGTGCATTTATATATGGATAGAAATCTTTTGTTCTATCTTTAAAAACTTCTAGTCTAGAATTCTAACAAATTCAAAGTCAAATAACTTAAAAAAACATGAGAATTTTTATAAGAGACAAGGTGCCATTAAACACTTGCAGTTAACCATATCATTCGACACACAGACAAAAATTTACATGTACTTGGCGTTTGTCTGTGGCTGTCTAAAAGCTTAGCAGCTGCCACAGGACGAGAGTGGCAAGGTGAAAACAGCAAGAACGACAACTCACTTTGACCATCGGGAAAAGTATGATAAAGGTTGTTGTTCGAGAAGTAAAGTCTACTGTCCTGAGAAAAATGACTGAAAGATGCCATTTTTTGTAAAGGTTTTAAGGTGTTTCACTCGTGGGTAACACGTTTGATATGTACGAGTATTGAAGAACTTTTAGAAATACCTAAAGAAGGTCAAAGTCATCTTTTGCGTCATTATATTCCATAACACGCTGCCGGATCTTTGAACCATTTGCCCAAGTGATATAATCCTCGATATTTCTGCTCACGAGAAATGCAGGGTCCATCACTACCTCTGGTCCTATTCTCACATGGCCTTGCTCTATGTATTTCACCGCGTCCTTTATTTGCTCAGCCATTTTCAACCGTACCATCACAACTGGCAGTCGACGTCTGCAAAAGCTTGACGTGCTTATCTTTTCACAGACGCTCAGATTCTTTTGTGAGGAAATTATTCCCAGATCGAAGAGCTTCTGAAGCAGTTTATTAGTTGCTTCTATCCTAAAAGGATCTTTCTGGTCGAGGTCCTTGATTTTGGCTACGAGAGACAACACTGATCCGCAAAGTTTATTGTACTTTGTGTAGTCTTCTCTTTTCTGTAAATGATATTTTCTAAGGACTTTTACTTCACGTATGTTATTGTCGCTTTTCCATGATATGAAATCAACTTTTTTAAGCAGTTTCTGCTCGTGGTATTTTAGTTTCCGCACCATGTTGTATAAAAGGCCTTAAGAAAAACAGCCTCATTTTCATTTACTCCTTAGCGAGGAACGAGGTGAATTACCCATGGCGGCAGTGGTATACACTCCCCTCACGAAAGTACCCGGACAGTTCGAAGATCGATTGCGCTTTCAGACAAAAACAAAAATAAGGCTGGCGAAAACGACTTTTTAACTTAGTGATAATAATTTTTTGAGAAACCCTTCCAAAATAAACCAGAACATCAAAATGCTGCAAAAATTCTGCGCTTTTTATCTGTTATCATTTTTTGTTAAAATGAGAAACCTTTGTGCTACAAGCCTTACACAAATCAACTGATGTTAAAAAAGCGGAGAACAGCAAAGTCAGGTGACTTGGACTCAGTTAAAATGGGCCAATAAAACCTGGTAATTTTTTACAAACTGGTTCTCCAGACACAAATATTGTTGAATAAAGAGAAATACAACATGTTTACTTTCAGTTGGGAAAAATGTTTGCATGGAGCTGCCCCCGATCGATTATAAAACATGGATGACATTTAGTTACATTTTACCAGATCAAAAAACTTCTTTGAAAGCAGACATATCACTCAGTCCAGGGCCATAAAGCCATATTATCTTTTTTCCGCTGCAAGTCTTGCTGAAATCGGTCGGTACGAGGGTACATTCACAATTCTTTATCATTTCCCTTGCAACATTTATCGACAGCTTTTAAAAGTTAAATTGTTTATAAACATTTTTTGCAATTTTGCGTAATGATGCAAACCAGTTTTGATGCAAATTTGATTAGGGCGGAACGCTCAGGCGTTGGTGTCGCGAGAGCACTTGCTCTTTTTGACCGTGAACAATTTTTTAGACTTCTTGATTTTCAAATCTTTTTACATATCTCGAAAGCGGCAGTCTTTGGGCATTCAATGATACTAGCAATTGAATGATAGCTTTTTCCCATCATTGTGATAAAACATTATTTCTAGACGCTGCTCAGAAGTCAATTATTTTGTTTCGGTCGCTACCATCTTGAGGAAAAACCCTCACAGAGTTTGCTTACATATCGATAAGATTACTTTTTTTCGACGAATAAATAAATTAAAGGCCAAAAAAACTTTAAGAAAAAATTCGAAGAAATTGATAAAAATATGTCCATGAAAACTGACTTTGAAATTTGTAAACAAATTTCTCTAACAACAGATTCGCAACTGAATTCGAAACTGTCCGGATACTTTCGTGAGGGGAGTGTATAAACAATACACTTATTTTTTCTCAAGAAACCTATGGATTTTTTTAAAAAAATTCTGAAAATCCATCAATTTGGTTTTCGGGCTGGTGTAAAAAAACTAGCAGTGGCCACGGGAAGGAGGCGTGATCCCTCAGAATTTATGTAGGCTCACTGTTCTCCCAGAATTCAAGAAAGGACTTTTTTCAAATAGGTACTTATGTGGCCATTTCAACGCTAGTAGGCATCGGATTGAAATGCGTCCCCCCTTAATTTGCCAAGGGTGTCGGAGCTGGGAGCCTCTTGCATAAAATGTTTAAAAACAATGGCAAATTTAGACGCTGGCTACTGTTGGCATTAGAAATTGGCTACATTTTACAAGGGAGGCTAAGTCCCCAGGAGCCCACTTAGCACTAAACTCCTATGTTCAACAACACGACGTGGATCTGGATCACGTATACAGTTTTTATGTAGCACTTTGGGAAAATTGCTAGAAGAGAAACTTACTAAAAGGGAAAATTGAATTTGGAACTGAACCGGATGAAATAAGATGCATAGTGCATACAGGTGCATGTACATTCATTTTCGAGCATGCACCCGATAACATCAAAAAATATTACAAACCACCAATACTTTCAAACGACTTTATTTTCTATTAACAAAGAGAACGTTCACTTCGTAGCATTTCTTTCAATACATTAAAATGCAAAATCATCTGAAAAAGACGTATAGACTCCATATTTCAAAGTCTACAATCATGCCTATCTGTGCTAGAAAAACTCAATCGAAGACAAGTAAACTAATATGGAAAATGTACACACTGTCATACAAGACCAGATCCCCCCGTACTGATGGTAATGTTAATATGACTTCCAAAGTTAATTGAAAATGTCTTAGAACACTCTTTATAAGATTAGCCTTAACTTTATGGTAACTTAGGTTTTCTGTTTTCTGTAACTGAAACGCAGCCCCAAGCAAAGCCTTTCTAAACTAATTCGGTTAGGCCCGCGCCACAGGGGGGCCGGGGTGGCCATGGCCCCCACTTTTTTGCGAAGCAAGTAGTTTTAAAGCTGCAGTAAAAGGGGTAAGAAGCCTTGGCCCCATATTTTTTCTAGCCTTGCCCCCCCCCCACGTTTAAATTCGTGGCGTAGGCCCTGCAACTGAATGATTTCTTTTGATTGATAGGCTGTTGATGAGGTTCTGTCAAAGATACTCGAATAGTGACTGGATAGGAAACTGCGAAGCGGACAATAGAACATGTTACGCATCACTGCTTATTCAAACTTGTAGGGAATGATCATTTCCGGTTTGTTTGGTTTTGACTGATAATGACGAGCTTCGCAGCTATTCGGCACGGTAGTTAACTGTTGTAGACTTACCAAGATAAGCTAATTTGTCCCTTGTTACGTTTTCAACGAAAAATGAAAGAAAAAAGGAGCGGAGAACGCAGCTTTTGTGTAATTTAAAAAGATGCGATAGGAGTTTCAACGCAGAGAGGGCCTACATCTGCGCAAGGCATTTTGATCAACATTGCTTTAGGATCGGTAAGTCACTGTAACTTTCATTACTTCTTTCATTGATTATTATTTTTGCCTATTGTTTTATAAGAGTTTTATTATTAAGATTGGATGCAGATCTCATTAAAAAATCCTTTCGGGGGTAGGGGGGCTACGAAATAGGTTATATAAATATTACTTAGGAGTTCAATCGATTTTTGACTTATTATTGGGGGGAGCTGTCACGACCCCCACAACTCCTATCAATCAGTTGCTGGTGATAGGTCGACTGAGAATATCAACAGTGTCACCGTTGAATAAACAAAGCAGGCAATAGTCTGATGGGACGAAAGTCCCCCTGAGAAAAGTGTCAAAATCATCAACTGTCATTGAGACAAAAATATCTAACAAAATTAGAAGCAAAGTTGGGGGCAACTCAAATTTTCTTTATCTTGTATTCATATTGACAATAAATTATTTCATAATGTTGTTTGTAGGAAAGACTGGAAGAAAAGACCTCCTTGTTGGAAGTTTGCCTACACAGTTCTTACATAAAAGAAGTCATGAAAATAACCAAGGGAAACAAAGGCATGAGCTTGAAAGACTTTTTCAAGAGGTGCCCTTACCAGTGCTTTACAAATGAAGAGGTTTCACAGATTTCAAAAAGAGCATTGGCAAAATAAAACAGCCCTGGGTCATTTTACATAGCTCTGATGAGACTGTACCCTTAGGTCTTGCTGACAAAACTGGTAATATTCGGAACAAATTTTCTGTGGACCTCTTTTCGAATGATACAAATTTTGTTCTCTCTGAGAAATCCTCTGAAGAAAAGAAAGAGATGTAGCTTTCCTCTTATTTGGAAAGCGAGGAAAGTGTTTCAATGCTTCAGTAATAGAGGGGGCTAGTAATAAAAACTAGAATACCAGCAATTTTGGCATAACGAGTTTTGTATATTGTTAAAAAGACCAGAAAATGAATATTTCTCTATTAGAATTATTTTTGTAATATTAGCTATATTTCAAGCTGTTTAGTTCATATTTCATCCATATTCAATTGTTGAAGTATTTTAAAAAATATTAACTTTTGCCTGATAGCTGAGCATTTCAAGTGGGCTTGCACATTTGTTCTAACATTTTCATCCTCCATACTTTCTGGAAATTTTCCCACATGGAATCCAGATAATTCGTTTTGCTTTCCAATTTGTTCTTAAAAAGACCTCTTGGGAAGCCTATTGTATCAGCAGTTCCTGCAAGTTCCAGTAGCCTCTGAAGAACTTTCCATACATTTCCATCAAAACCGTCTTGTTGGCCTCCTTAATGATTGAATTCATACAAATCTGAGGGGCATCATGTTCTTTCTCCTTTAAAGTCACCCCCTTTTTCTTACGATATGGCTCTTTAACTTTCCTTTTCTTTGCATTGCTCCTCGTTTGTTGGTGAATAACAAAATTTGACTGTCATCACAAAATTTAATAGTGGTTTCCTAAAAGGAAAACATCAATAATAATTTAACCAGACGTACACCTGCTACAGGGGTGCACAGCTCTGTACCCTCAAAAGTATAACAAAAACGGGAAACATGATTAGACGAGAAACTTTCCATTTTATTGTTTCGTGATTTGTTTATATGTTGACTGGTGCTGCTGCCGTGTCGATGAAAAATCAAGCCAAAGCCAACATCATTAATTTAAAACAAGTATCTTCCTAGGCCTAATTATAATGTAAATCAACATTTTCACTAGCATTATCCCTGGTTCATCGAACATACATTATGTTCAATCGGCATTCTTGCAATTACTCGTTAGAAAATGAAATATTGAAGTTTGATAGAAGGGCCTACATGGCCATGACTTAAATTCTTATTCGCGGAGACAGAGATAATGGCTGCAGCGCCTTTAAAGTACACAAAGAAACGGACTACATTACCTCGACAACAAGTTCAAGTAATTCTTCGTCGATTTGGCCATTAAAATAGGTGAAATCCATTCTTGGATGTTGCTTTTTTCGGTGAATGTCCTGGTCGTGAGACTAAAACCGGAAATGACTATACCCTACAACTTTTCCAAAACACGCGATTGGAAGATAAACGTAATCGCCTATTGTTGTCTGCGCAGTTTCCTATCCAGTCACTATTCCAGTATCTTTGGTTCTGTTTACTCCCTTTTACTTGCATCTTCCTTTGTCTGAGGAACAGAATTAAGATACAACATGTCTTTTGTTTGCTGAAGTCTATACACAGAGCTACTTTTATAGAACATGTAAGATCACACATATCCACAAGAGTGTGACACCAAATCTTGCAATTTTTTAGTTCTTGAAGCCAATGCCTGTCATTTGTGACACACGACTAAAATAGATGTATTTCAATCGTGTAATATTGTTGAAAAAAAACGGGAAATAGGTGCACCGTGTAAATGATACGTGTTAAAGTTAAATCCATATTGGGGTCCATTGGGCCTATGTTTGTCAGGAAGATGAATGATTCCTTCCCTTTAATTTTGCACACTTCATCACAATACCGTGCCATCTTGACTTGTGAGTATTTGATGCTTGGCTTAAAAGAAACATGCATCAGAGATTTCTGTTGATATCTGTCCTTAGCATGAAACATGTTGTGATGAAAGGCTGGTCAGTGCCAAAAGTGATTAGTTTCTACATCATGTTAAAGTTTTTCAAGACATTTTTTGTCAGAACCCCCCCCCCCCCTCTTTTTCGTAGGATTACATCCCTTTCCTTATTTGACGTAAGTACGAGCCTGGTCATTGGCAGCTTTTTTGTTTTTCAAAGTTATTTGGTTAATGGCAGATTTACAAAATATTCCCAGATAAGATATTCACCTTTAAATGAAAGACATAACACAAATTTACTTTAAGGTACAAAAACTTCAAACTAACATTGTTTGAGTTTAACTAAAGTCTAGAAAAACGATTGAAATACAATTCACCATTTTTTGCAAAAGCTACAGCTACTAGATTTGAACAGTTTTTTTGTGGTACAAAACTTTAAAATGGCCTTGAAAAAAGCAAACATGATTGCCCTATTTCGATCTGCAATCGGGTATATATTTATCATCGTGTCCTTTTGGACCTTTATTCTGATGTTTATGCTCTGAGGAGTGTCAGATGAAAGAGTTTTTAACCAACATATAATAAAATGTTTGTTTTTTTCAAAGCCATTTTCAGCTACTAAATTACAAATACTTAGGTAAATACGTCTGAATATGAAAAATAAGGGTGATATTTGTGAGGGAGAGAAGGTTTGATTTGATACTGTGATTGTTGCTCGTTAATGCGATCACCAGGCAACTGTATGTTCTATGTATTTATAATAATTCTCCTTGAATTGTTTTAAAACGTATAAAATGTAGTCTTTTTTTGCACTGTAATTCGATTTGAGATTTTGAGTTTGACTGCATCTAAAGACAATTATGAAATTTTATTCTTCAAATGGCATCAACTCTTCCCTGGCAATAACAAACTCGTGCTTTATAAACTTTCACTATTTCTACCAATAGCAAATAGCTAAAGCAAATAAGTGAAATGCAGTCTTGAAGTATTGGTTAGCACTACCTTTGGCATTGATAAGCAGCAGTGAAATATTACAAGGTGATCAAGATGCATATTTTTATTTCTATCAGCAATGAAACCACGAATTTCTCTAGGGTGAAGGGGGGTTTGGGGGAATTGAAGAGTTTAGGGTTGGAAGTGGCAAAGAACCCGAATGGCATCATTCGTCAGCTTGACAGGTAAACCATCTATTTCAGCAGTTCCTAAATCGCTATAGTCCTTCCAGTTTAACAAATGCATGTCACCCGATACTACTATCAGAATATCTATTATAGATTGTTCGTATATCCATGGACTTGAAAAAGCAGAAACATGTTTGAGAGAACCTGTATGTTGATAACTAATCTACAACATGGCGGCAGTGCTTCATCGTTACATTTTACTCCGCAACAATTAGAACTCTCATCATTTCAGTCACAAACCTGCCCGATCTCTCCCCTTTGGCAAGCAAGAAAATTGATGCGGCCTGTCCTGCTGGGGCTCTTTTAGAAGCCTTGAAGTTAACCATAATGAAACCCATTCTGCCCTTTCTGCACATTACCCTCCCTCGCATAACCTTGGCCGTTCCAGCATTTGAAAAAGCCCTTACTTTGAAAAACTCGGTCTGCCCGGTATTGTGAAGTCCCGCAAGTAACAAGAATCGTTTTCCTTGCACAACGGTGAAATGGTTCTGACCGTACAAAACACGCAACAGAATGCTTTTAGCTTCGTCTTCTTTTCTTGAAACTCTTGTAAATTTGGTACCGCTAAGGGTATTTCCCTCAAGCATGATTTTGTATCTAACACTTGGAGGTTGGAACGTGGCCTGAAAAAGGGTTCCTGTCATCCCAATCGACTTTAGCCTTATATCTTTCTGTAGTGTATGGCCTTGCGGGTCAATAAGACGCAGGGACAGTGTCTTCTTGCTAGTGTGGTGTGCCCCTCCAATTGTGACGAACACTTTGCACCTTTCACCTATATTAAAACACAAATTAAGAAGAAGAAGAAGTCAGGAGAAGTAACATTAACATCTTCAAACAATAATTCCTTTCTTTATTCTTTATTTTGATCCCTTATAATGCTGCATTGCTAGAAATAATTGACACTTGGTACGAGCGTACCCTTACCATCCACCACCAACAATTCTCAACAAAGCTGAAGAATTCGTAGGCAATATGAAATGCGATTGGACTTAGTCTAAAACACGGAAAGAATGAACAAGCCCTCTTCCTATAATGACTTTCCATTCTTCACCAAAGTGAAAAACTGGGTATCTATTCATATAGTAATGTAGTTAGCTAAACCTAGACAGATAAATATGTCGCCTGCAGTTCATTCAATTCCTTTTGCCGAATAAATACTTGCATTACCACTGGCTAAAAATATACCCACTGACTGTCAGTGTCAGGTTGATGTTGATAAAGCATTGGCTCCATAATTGAGATGTTGATAATTTTCCAAATTGTCATCCGTCATCCAACTTCTCTTTGGCATAAGATACTTGTCACTATAATATCTTCACTATGTCAATGATGACCACCAACTGCTCATACTCTGGGTTCTTGTAGGATATGCAGCTAATTTAAATGTCAGCTCCAGTCATAAGAGCCGGCAATTCTTGTCAAGGCCCCGGTATCCACTCGCCATGTTCATGAATCAGGTTTATCAACCTTTATATCTGTTTGCCCTATCTAATCTTGCCTAATTGATCAATGTATCTTGCCAACTATCAATGACAGGTTGTTGTATATTCAAATTTTGAATTTGTCAAAATCAGTCATCGACAGGACGTCTTTTACAAGCCATCGTAAAAATTATCATTTCTGCAACAAGATTCACTGTACTCTGTAAAACACTTTAATTTCAAAGAGGACGTTAACTATGATTTTGAACATAGCAAGAACAAGTGGAAACGTGACATACTAAAGTGATTTTCGCCCAACAATTCTAAGAGTATAAAGGTTGGATAATGACCAAAGGTAAGCGTTTATACTCTGATGAGTGTCGGATGAAAAGTACTATGTTTTCACTTTTCCCTGCTATCTTCAATCTTTGGTTTAGCATTACCCGCATTCTCATTCTCAAGCAACGACAGTCAACAAACTTGACTCACCTGTAAGTGGATGTGCCACTGGGGAGGAGATTCCATTGTAATCAAGCACATAGTAATAGCCAAACTCGATGACACTGCTGCTCTTAACTCTTGCGATGTAATCAAACTTCCCTACATCGGTTGGAACAAACAAGATCCATTCACCCATCATTGGCTTCTCGATTTTGTAAACAAGACTGTGCGATAAATTCACTAGAGGTTGTATAATATGTCCTTTTGGGTTCAGAAGTCGAATATTCTTGGTTGTTTCGCGCTCAGTTGTAACTGTAACCTGCAGTTTAAAGGCAAACTCGTCGACTTGGAGGGGAAACTGGCTCACTCCCTTAGATCTTCGGCTTCTACTTCTTCGTTTGTTTTTATACAGTGACTTTTTTTTGGGCAAAAATGTCCTAAAAGATACAAATTAGGATTTCATAGTTAGCTATGCCATGGTGTACCACTACATTTTCTTTGCAAGAATAATTTCAAAATAGAATGATGAAATATAATTAGAGGCTGGGTAAGCATCTGAAGTAGCAACCTTGTTAAAATTATTATATCTATAATTAAAGCTCCATGCCAAACATCACACGCCTTTGCAAAATGCCCACTGATATTTCAATGCTGTAAAAACTTTAATTGTCTGTCACAATGAGGAATGGAGTTGATTCAGCCTTTCTTAGAAAAAAGAAAAAAGTTTGTAATTATACGAGTAAAGAATGGGAAGATAAAAGAATGTAATCTAAGATATTTTTAGGTGATAGCGTCAATAATGATTTTAGAAGAAATTTTAAGAGTACTTAATTTCAAAGTAATTAAAAGGACCTGTAGAGAAACAGGATAGTCTTTAGATCGTCGTTAGTACTTCATTACAGTCCAATTCGAAGAAAGGTTGAACGCTTTATAAAAAAGCTTTACCTGTTTCTTATTAAGGATTCCAATATCAACAAAATTGCTCTGGTCATTAAGGTTTTTTGAAGGAATGGAAGCAAGACCGAATTTCGTAAAAAAATATCCCTGTAAAATTGCATTTAAACATTACATAAAACCTGGAGAATCTTTCCCAGACCTAGTTGCTTGAAGATTCTTATTCCTTGCTCATGTCCTCGATTGGACTTCATTCATGTGCATTCTTTTTTAAAAAGAGCCAGAATATTGAAATTCAGGCTGGCTGTTCATAATTTTTTCAAACATTTAAGGCTGGATTGTTCTTCATATTTTTATTCCTTACTAAAGTAGGTTTCACAACATTGTTCAAAACTAAATTTTACAGCAGCTCAGCTCCAGCTTGTTCTTAAATTGTTTATAACTTTTGAACAATTTAGAGGCTCGCGTTAATATAAAATTGTTTTTATAAAAAAATAGTGTAGCAAGAAGTCAGGACAATAAATTGTCTTCCCTTCAAACATTTTCTAATAAGATTGATCTAGCTCGACTGATCTGATGCAATGTTCCAATAATTTATCTTACCTTGATATGGATATAATCTGAGTGCTGTCAAGACTGTCCTTTACAAAGCTAGTCAGATTTCTTAGCTCCTTGTCACTTTTCAAGGGAAAGACCTGGCCCGAAGTGAAAGCGGCAAGATCACGGAAACTCTGAATTCCCTTTTTGTCGCAGCCCCCCGGCTTTGTGAAGAAATTAACAGTAATACCAGTACTTTGGGCAATCACTTTCGCCGTCTTAACATTTGTCAGGGTGTCGTCCTTTGCACTGGCATCAGTTATGACGAATAGGGGTGAGCCATACTGTGGACCAGCATTCAAGGCCTCAAGAATCCCAGCAAAGGCCAACTCCGAGCAATCCCCACCTCCTTTTGGCTTGATTGAATCTATGGCTTCTATGAAAGCTTTGCCTTCGCTCTCTGTCTTGTACACAACAGGCCCAAATGCTGTAGGAATAACAGTCACTGCTTAGAAGTAGATCTATCGCAAATGTTCTTAGGTTCATTACACAACAATAGCCTCTAAACAACTTTTTAAAATACGAACTGTTAAAGCTCATTACACAAACTCACGAACATTGTCGCACAACTCTTCCTTCCTCCCTAGACCTTGTAAACTTTAGAATGATCTACCCTTCTCCTGCTTCCCAGATTTTTACAACCTGTTATTTTAAAAAACAAAAATAATCAAACATGACTATTTTCAAACCCCTCCTCCCTTTCCATTATTAGGGCTCAGCATAGGCTCCTCTAGCATTACCAACTAAAAAGTGTTGGCTTAAGAGCCTTAGAATACCACATCCTTAAAGTCAAAGTTGTTGAATAAAGGACATACCCATTCGAGCCATATTGCAGACAAAACTGCTCTACAATACGAGCTGCAATTCATAGAGAACCCTAAATGTTGATCTCTTTTTTGCATCATACACTATTTTATCTTGCTGCAATTTAGGAAGTCCTCATCCGGGGGTAAAGTATTACCCCCAGCAGGCAAAGTCGTATGCTAACCAAAAATGAAAGCTTTTTTTAAAACTATCTTTCTTATGAAAATACTACCATATTACTTCAATAGAGAGAGCGGTAGTGATTGAATGCAAAGCATAAGATTGTCTTTAGTCCTCCAAGAAAAATATCAATTATTGTAACAAAGGAGACATCGATACAAAAAAGTATTCTGTGAGCAAAAATTATGACTGCAAGAAAAACGTTCGTATTGAACGGCTGTCATCCCTGAAACAAACCTGAAACATTCTTATGAAACGTTAATGTTTTTATATCTTTATAACGCACAGATCATAAGACCTCGATGACCTGGTTTGAGGGTAAAATGTTATCATGGTTGCTTTTATTCGGCAATTGGTTAGATTAATATTGCACATTCTACTTGTGGGCAAGAGTCATGAATGCTAGCCTCCTTCGTTGGATATATAGTATCTTACCAGGATCTGCAAACGGAGACAGAATAAAATCCACTTTCTCTTTCCTTTCTTCAGCCAGAATAGCCTTGGTAATGGCTTTAGCTGCTTTTATGTCGTCAGTCATGCTGCCAGTTGTATCAATGGCGAACGCCAATGTTTTTGCGCCACCTCTCGCCACAAGTCTGTTAAACGACCTCTCGCCAACTTCATCTCTCAAGGTTTCAAGGAAATGCGCGGCAGCAAATGATATGGAATTCAACCCAAGAGGAAATTTTGATCCAGAGCCGCTAAGATAGGCCTGTTAAGCAAAGATAATATCTATGAAAACTAATCAACACGTAATATCATAAGCAATGCAATTAAACTATTAGACTAGGAAGTGTACTATTATTGGTATACTTCTTTTTGAGTTGAAGAAAAGAGCGTTCTTTAATCAAATTTTAGGCTGTTCAGAACGCGCAACCAAATGCAATCATCAAAGATTCCAATGCATTTGCCTCCCAGCGCATGACATTTCTTTCTTCTAAAAGTAAAAACCTGTCTTGTGCTCAGAGTTTCTCTAAATTCCTCTATCTTTGAAAGCACAAGAATATAATTTACCAAATAATGATATACTTTTATATCTAAAGTTAATTCTGATCCTCACTTAATAGAACTGTTGTGATAGGATTCTAATTAATCTTGTGACCAACCACTCTGCAACGTTTTGAGTTACAAAAAAATTATCTTACGAACATTATTAAAGCTTGACGCTTCGTTTCAAAGTTCAAGCGCAGGGCAAAATAACTCCACAAAGTTACCTATTTGCTTAACTTTGTCATTCAAAATGACACCATGAATGCAGGTGTTTTCGTAAAGACTTTCAAACTTTAACCCTTGTCATTCAAACTATAATCTTATGTGCTAGATGCTATAGAATTTCGATGAGTACAGATTAAATGTTGAAATTTGGTGTTAGAGTCAATTTACATAAAAGGCCTGGAGAGGAAACTGGATATAATTAAAGAGGCGACCATAAAAACGAATGAAAGCCATTTATAGAGGGCTTTGTTAATGTACTCTGTTTCTAAAACGTAACAAGATCATAGGAAGTCTAATGAAGTTAGTAAAACTGGGTGGAAAGTGTCGATACCAGTCTTTCAGGGGGAAGGTGCTATATATGTTTTTCTGGGGGAAGTGACTCTACTAGTCTTTCTGGGGGGAAGTGTCTAGATATGTTTTTCCGGAGGAAAGTGTCTATACAAATGTTTCTTGAGGGTGTCAATACATTTTTTCTGCGGGAAGTTTCTCTACATGCTTTTCCGGACGAAGTATCAATATTAGGCTTTCTGGGGGGGGGAGTCTATACACTTTTTGCTAGGGAAGTGGTCCTTACTTGTCTTTCTGGGGGGAAGTGTCTATATATGTTTTTTTCTGGGGGAAAAGTGTCTATACAAGTCATTTAGAATTACAGTTATGATTAAAAGTTCACATGCACACTTGTGTAGAAGGTACCTTCGTGGAAGCAAGAACCAAAACATGCTATAATTCCCCTGACTATCCCATCCACCCTGTTACACCCCTTTCCCCGGGGTTCTTAACTGTTAGCAAATTCTTGATTGATCAAAAACTTAAAGTATGATTGAAAGCGAGTAGCTATTGTAGGCAAGCCACACAAATTCAGGTAACCGTGTGGAATGCTTCCTTTTTAACGTTTAGGTTATCCAGTTCAAAGCCAATGTCCTGTGGAAAACAACATTTAATTGATCTTCAGTATTAAAGAAAAGAAAATACATAAAGGATTACAAAACCAAGTATCACCTTGAAGTATCCATAAAGCGTTCTTGCAAGTGCAGACCGGGCTAAATCCTTTGTGCTTGTACTCGAGGCGGCTTTCATGTACTGTACCAACTTTTTGACATCAACTGCCTCGTCTGGACTTCGTTGTGCAGCGGCATGGGCAGTGGCAACTTCTTTTGTTATCTGGATGGCAGCCTCGTAGAACTTGCCTGTTATGAAGCGTCAACATAAGAGAAGGGTAAAGTTAGGTCGCCCAAACACGAGTGAATGTCTGCTAAAGAGGCATACATATTGCAAAATTATGACGCGATATGAAAACTGCTAACAAAAAAGGATCTAACACCTTATTCCGCATGGGGCTTTTGTTAAAAAAAGAACTTATGGGTTTTTACGATACTGAGGTCTATAGAAGAAAATTAAATTCAAAAATGAACTAATCACTCCTTTTCCATAAATCAAACGGGTGAATGATAAGCAAAAAACTCTTAAAAAAGGAATGGAGATTAATTTTTCCCATTATCTCAAAGTAGCAAGAATTCTTTTCCTTTTCTTTGAATAGAAAATATAATGAAAAGCTTACATTTTATTTTGACATTAACTAACTTTTTATTACACCAATCATTATATTAACATTAAACGTATAGACACAAGGAATAATCAATATGAAATTTACTTTTATTACGTTTTTCATAAAGAATGGCAGAAGGTAAAAGAGGAAGAAAAGTTGCAATTTAATTTTGCAAAGAAAATGTAAAGGGAAATCAAATTGTTAAGCTTCTAAATGATCTTTCCCTTTTAAGCGACAGAAGAGAGCTTTTTGTCAAATGTCGCAAAAGTTTTCATCCATATGGTAATGTATTCGTATATACAGTGGGCAGTAGAGTTGTCGAAAGATTACGTTCCAAACTCGTGATTGAAACTTACCGCATTCCATAGACATGCCTCACTTCCCTATTCACAAGAAACCGAGGTAAGTTGTCTATCTGTAGCTCACGGAGGAGCCCTTATTTTAACTACACGAGCCTCCCCCTCTACTCTTAAAATACTTCTTTCGTCTACAAAAATTTATGCAAATAATCTTTTGGTGGTACAAAACTTGAAAATGGCTTTAAAACATTTAGTAAACTAAAGCTTTTCCTCTGACACTCTTCAGAGTTTAAAACGCCAGAACATAGACCGAAAACTCTACGTTAGGAAATACATATACCCAGTTGTGGATCGAAATAGGCCAATCACAAACACGAGCACATGACTGTTGAGGTTGGCCAATCAGTGCCGCTTGCCTATTGGGAATGTTACCAATGGAGTTCTGAGGTGAAAAAGAACTCCTTCTGTCTACACAGTAGCGGTTTTTTCGTGCTTATGTAGATAGATTCCAAAACTGCTAGGTGGAACGACGATCGGGCTTTACCAATAATCCGAAACATGTCGCCATTATAGTTTTTTGCACAATCTGGGTTTTCCAGTAAATGCTGCCCGATAGCAGAATCGCAGGTTTTAGTTGTACTTTTAGATCTGCAAGACCGAGGTGGCTGTTCTCTTTGGGGACGAGTTTTATTTCTAATACTAAGCGGAACATGTTGTTTTATTCTATCCTCCAATCTTTGGGTAGTGCGTCCTACGTAGCGAGAATCACACTGGCACGTAAATTCAGATACAACGGAACTTTTTTGTGTGGCAGGAACGCAGTCCTTTTGAATGGACGGAAGGGCCTTTTTCGCATTATAAACAACACGTGGGTTAACTGCAAAGAAACAATTTGTAATGGCCTGTTTTATTTGATTTTCGAAACGTAGGGAACTGTCACCGATCCAGGGTAGTTTTAGATAGACCGGGCACTTTTGAGGACCAAATTTTACGTCAGCCGAGAACTTTCCTATCTTCTCCTTAATGTATTACAAATTTTTCATTTGCAGTTAACCCACGTGTTGTTTGTAGTACGAAAAAGGCCCTTCCGTACATTCAAAAGGACTGCGTTCCTGCCACACAAAAAAAGTTCCGTTGTATATGAATTTACGTGCCAGTGTGATTCTCGCTACGTAGGACGCACTACCCAAAGATTGGAGGATAGAATAAAACAACATGTTCCGCTTAGTATTAGAAACAAAACTCGTCCCCAAAGAGAACAGCCACCTCGGTCTTGCAGATCTAAAAGTACAACTAAAACCTGCGATTCTGCTATCGGGCAGCATCAACTGGAAAACCCAGATTGTGCAAAAAACTATAATGGCGACATGTTTCGGATTATTGGTAAAGCCCGATCGTCGTTCCACCTAGCAGTTTTGGAATCTATCTACATAAGCACGAAAAAACCGCTACTGTGTAGACAGAAGGAGTTCTTTTTCACCTCAGAACTCCATTGGTAACATTCCCAATAGGCAAGCGGCACTGATTGGCCAACCTCAACAGTCATGTGCTCGTGTTTCTGATTGGCCTATTTCGATCCACAACTGGGTATATGTATTTCCTAACGTAGAGTTTTAGGTCTATGTTCTGGCGTTTGAAACTCTGAAGAGTGTCAGACGAAAAGCTTTAGTTTACTAAATGTTTGCTTTTTTCAAAGCCATTTACAAAAATTTATATTATCCCTGTGATCTTAAGTTATAATACTTATGGCGTTACAAGCGAGCTCACATCCAACAAAGGAGAAGCTTCGTTGACTGAAGAAAGCTTTTTGAACATGCCACTCCCCCTTCTCTCGAATTCCCTAAGCGATTTGTCTCATCTGAAATCTTAGGAAATTCAGATAAGTCCATAATCTAGCGCTAGAATATTAATGCTAAACTGTGATGAATTCACTCTCAATATTGCAAATGATTAACACCGCAGGGTTGCCCCTCTGGCTAAGAAAAGAGCAAGGATTACTCTATCAACCTGGATGAAATTTGGCGGACCCAAGGATCAACCGTGGATTATATCTACACCTTGTAGAGTATCCAGTAGGAAGAGAGTGCATCAGGTGCTCATGAAATCCGAGCTTATCTTCTTGGTAAGATTGTTAATTACGGATAACACGAAGCAGTATCTCATGATAATTTGGATTACATTAGATGAGACACTAAACAGGTAATCAGAACTCGAATTTGTCATCTGATCATCAATCATTCAATCCATCAATTAATATGCAGAAACTAGACCAATAAAGGTCGAAGAGAATAACAAAACATAGGCAAAATTGACTGTTATAACTGGAAACAACGAATACATTAGCAAACTGGAAACAACGAATACATGACCATTTTGAAGACTCATTTGAGTAGAATATGATCGAAAGATAGACAGAAAAAGTTAATGCAGAGGAATCGATAAACAAGTGTTTTATGTGATAAAGATGATAATGATGCATATGCATTCTTTGAATGGTTCGTAATGTGGAACAAGAGAGATAAATCTGAAAAAACGCATTGGGTGAAAACTGCAGGTGCATTAAAGATTCTTGCAGGAATTTCAATTAAATATACAAAATGAACACACATTTTATAAAGAATGAACTCGTAAATAGTCAAGAGTAATGAACGAAGAAATTTTATGAAAAATTATTAAGAATGAACTCAGGATTGATACAAAATTGAATGCCAGGATTTAGTTCAAATACCCATTCTACAGGTAATGGTGACACAGTTTATTCATATACCTGCAGCAAAAGTTTTCAAGTAGGAATTTACAGATACAATTTCTATTCTATTAAGTATTGGAGTTACTGTCAAACAGTTATTAGGAATACAACATGCATAGTCTGATAGTGTGAAAATGCCCGTGATTAAGGGAACTGTAGACATCGATCAAGAATCGCGTGAAAGATCAAAACGCAATATGGTTAGATGCACCCCTAGATCGCCGGTCAAAGGTAAGTGCTTGATGAATGTGATAAAAATCACAATATTTCGAGTTCTTTTTCTCACTTTTACTTTAAATAAGAGTTAACCTAACAAATGGAGACCAGCTTCATCAGATGGAGTTTTCATATGAAAGCACTTGCAGTTGAGGCATATGTATTCAATTTGCAACCGCGTATGATACGATGGAACCGTCACAACTTGTGACAAGCAGAATTTGATGCATCTTGTGCATTTTAGCAAGGACTGTGCCAGACGTGACATGCTTAAAAGCAAAACAAAGCAGTTCACCTGATGGTTGCTGTTTGCCCCATATGTTATCGTAGATTTTCATCAGAGTGTCCCATGCAAGTTGCACCGACTCTTCAACAGTCAAATTCGAGTGGCGACGCCGCCAGTTGCTCTCAGCGTCATCACCACTTGCAAAACAACACATGAGAATGGAAAGCAAAATCAAAGGTCCCATCTTCCTGGCAACTTCGCTATGCTGTCCTTCCCTTTGCTGATAAACGTGCAACTGATACACGCCTCAGCGCTGCATTAAACATCCTAGTAACCTATTATCCTTTCAATGGTCAAATTAATTCCTCCAACCACCGCTCAGGGATCCTACTCAAGCTCTCTGTACATTTTTGTCAACTTCGGACAATAAAAACAATGTGTAATTGTCTTTCCAGTGAACAGGAAGCTAGAATCTTTGGGATTTAACTGTTTGTTCTTTCTCGTTTTTAAACCTGACAGACATTATTTAAGTATATACTGTTTGACATTTCCTGATAATTAGGTTGAAGTTCAAGGGCAAGTTCCCGGAACAAAAGTGTTTACAAGCCATTGCTCTGCGAATTTCCCAATAGCTCAGCCGCAGATGGTCAAAATTTCGTCTCTCTTTTTGCACTCTCTTGTTAGCAGAGAAAAATAACATTCCATCCACGCATTTGTATCATCTGTACCGTCTCGAAGTTATTCATACAAATCGTCCAGGAGATAGATTGTAGAAAATCTTGGTTTTTGCTTGTGGTTCACAAGTGAAGCCTGGTTGGTATCAAACCAGCCAAAAAAAAGGCTCCGTCTTTTCAGGAAAGATTTGAAACTGCGGTAGACATGAAGCTTTTAGAAACATCTAAAACCAATTATTTTGAATCCACTAAAACTTGCATATGGTACCGCGTTCTCCGAAACAAGCTATTACAGTTACAAGCCATTAAGTTTCTATGAGCAAAATTAACCAAATCATAATCTGCATTTACCTATCTTCTATAGCGCAAAGTCACCCAGTGACTATCATCTCTTTGGATAAGGCAATTCTTTTCAATGGTCAAAGCTCTAAGCTCTGAACAGATATAATAGCCTTGGTCAATGATAAAGTCATAAAC